AAGAATACATAAAACGCTTTTTTTGACTGGCTTCTTCGGAAAAGAACAAATGCGCTTAGCGTAAAATCGAACAAAGTCAACCTAAAACTACTTTATTCTTCTACGAAGAAGCCAGCCGTATTCTCACTCTAAGATTAAGATTGGATTTCTTTATTTGGAATTTAATGCAGGGCAAGGCAGAGAGCCTCAAAATTTTTTTGTGATTGTATGTGTTTTGAAATAACAAAATATTGCAAGTGCCTTTTTGCCTCTCTTTACAGAGTGAGAAATAATTTGTTATCTTTAAATTTTCAATTTAAAATTTTCTGTTTTCAAAACAACTTAGTTGGTAAAAATTAATATTTTGATCAGACAATTCGGACATATATTTGCACATTTATTTCAATTATTATTCATTTTAAAATAAATAAAAAATATATAAGTTGACATTTTCAGAAATTTTATATAATTTTGATGTTATTTGTGTTTAATAATTTCGGACATAACATGCTAACCATCAAAATTGGCCCTTTAAAAATTAATACCAATTACCACAGGCTGACATACGCAAATAGTCGAAGAATTTTATGCTGATCAGAAACTCATATCCTGTGTTGGGTCCTAAAATATTATTTCTATGAATTACAAAGAGAATAACAAACATCAGATCCTGTTCTTTTTTCTAATATTGACTAAGAACGTACATATCATTTCAGAGAAATTAAGGGATATGAAAATGTACACTAATTTGGAAGGACAATAAATGTATCTAACAATATTAAATAAATTTCTATTCCTAATATGTGAATTCGTATGCAATTTTTGTCAAATAGAAATCAATCAAAAAAGATAAATCTTAAAAGTTGTAATTTTTCAACTTGGCAAATATTTGTTTCAAATATGTAGTGAGATATATTTATGTACACCAATATTTCTAACGGTGTATTCTTAAAAATGTCCGACAGCACCTTCCTCATCGACTGCTCGAACAAAACTAAATATTCTCCCAAAACCAATTTGACAGAAAATTCAAAACAATTTATTTTTCACAATTGTGTTGGTGAACACACAGATATCCCAAGGGATACCCTTTGCCTAGCCTTGATTTAATGTAACATTTTAAAGGCGTTCCTATTCGTTGGAAATTAAAGAAAGCATTAACACGAAAATATATTCTTGCAAGAATTGTAATTATTTTAGAAATAAATATTAAACTAAAATTTCTCTAAGAAAATTATTAGATGTTCCTTCCTCAAAATCAGTATCTTAATCTAGCTATCAGATGCTAGCAAAAAGCTAATAAAAATAAATATTCCTCCTATGAATTGTTCTCAAACTTAACCACCAGTATATAAATGATATTCTCAGAAAGCGAATTTAAAATTGCATCTTTATATATTAAACCATGCATTCCTACACTAAATACCTATGTTCTTTGGTTGTATGCTTCGCAGTCTAAATATATATTGATAGCCATCCTCTAAAAGCCTATTGGTCTGTGAACAAATAGAAACACGTAAACGTTAGTATGTTTTCTTACAAATTTCTTCAACGTTAGGAGCACGACTTAGCCCACAGAGAACACATGTTAGTTGACATGCGAAAACAACGAAAGGATAATGTAAGAAAACGACATGAACAAACATAATTTTAAAGTCCATGGTATGTTTTCCTTAACCAAGATGATCCTTTGAAATCTATTGGGGATTTTTGTGAGGAAACCTCATACGACAATGTTTATAGAAAAAAAAACGTGGAAAATCAAAGTGGTATTATTTGCTCATATCTGGGAGTAGAACGCTTTAAATCCCTGATTGAAAGAAGGAAAACAAATAGAAAGGGCAATCAGAGTTCCGATGATGACATAGATTTAAAGGTTGAAACGAAAGAGAAGAGAGATTTTTTTGTTTTGAAATTGATAGACTATCTATCTGAAATGAAGTCAGTTGATAACGATTAGGTTAAAAATCGTATATCAGCAAGAAACAAGAAATATGGATTTGATCAATCAATAATTGTGGAAAATGAAACGCATACGAAAAATGTTGGCAGAGCCAACTAGCAGGCCCAAAAGCCCCCACGATAAACGTCCCTGCTCACAAATGTATATGTAATGTATTGACCAATTTAAGTGGTCAATTTAATATCATCCATTTATTAAGAGACTTATTAATATTTTACTTACTCGATTTTAAGTGGTTACATTATGTAACAATTATTATATAGAAGAATTGGATTTTTCAACCCAATATTAAGATTCGAAATAGCAGGATACATGTATGTGAGTACCTCCTTTATATAACCTCCTCTGCCATATGCCTACACAGGGTATAAATCATTTAATACGCCCAAATCGAAATAACGGTTTTAGACCCCAATTCCCTTTGGGCCAAACCCGATTCAGGGCATTTGGAGTGTACCTATGGGTGTCCGCCCGTCGTTTTTGTCTGTCTGGTTGGTTCGCACGATAACTATCGAAAGGAGTATCCGATTTGGTTCAAGCTTGGTACATCGTATTATTATTGTCAAACTTAGATCGAGTTCGTGGCTGGGTAATATCGAACAATTCCTTCTGTCAATGAAAATACTTATTAACGACATTTGTCGGAAAGTTAGCGACGAAATCAAAGTAGTCGCTAAGACCTACCGATAGATGTTATTAACCTTAATTTCTTTTTTATATTAAAATTTTGGGTTTCAAAGTTACCAATTTTTGTCGGTTACTCAGAACATGATTTAGAGAATCCCACTACAGATGTCAATATGGAATTTATCGGCCCACTTATTCTGGAACCTCCCCAACAAATGATTAAAATTTTGATTAAACATATTACATAAATTGAAGGAAGTGCGTGTCTGATACGAAATTTACAATATTGGGCCACTCCTTCAGAACCACCTCCATTAAGCGTTTAATAATCTTAACGTCAGAAAATATTTAAATAAATGAACATACATCATGTTTCTATTTTGAAGTTCGGCCACAATTTGCAACCAAATCAGTTGATTTCTGTATGGTTTTTGTTTACAAAAAGGGTTCGATATTGGTCCACGATAACGTACAGATCCCATATAAGATTATCAATAGAAAATCATCAAAAATTTTGTGCAGGTTAAGTACTCGTACAGGTTACTCATATACACACTTTTCATAATGTTTCATTAACAACATCCAACTTTCAAAATTAAATGTAGGCGGAACCTGTGTTCTGTGGCAAAAAAAAACGAATATATATTATTTTTGGTTTGAAATTCCCGGCATCTATATATACTATAAAAACAATTTTTTACATAAAGTAGTAGATCGCGAAAACAATTTTGATTGTAAAATAGCGAAAATTAACATTTTACTTTTATTAATAAAGTTTCCTGATCAGATTTTGAGTGTTTTATGTCAATAGACACATGAGTGTGTAAAAAAAGAATTTTTCCAGCGCGAAAAGCGCTATTCCAGAACTGCACAAATGTTACATTTTATTTTTATATTTATATATATTTTTGTATCGATGTCATAGAGGAAAAATTGTTTATCGTAGTAAAAAAACGGAAACGGAATTGATGTCGTTACAGATTTGCCAAATGACATTAACTCATTTATTCCGCAATTTATTTGCTAAAGCCCCGTATTCTGCCATGTATTTACTACAGTCATGAGGTATTCTGAGTTTCATCGTATCTGATGAACCTCAACAATATTTTTATTGTAAATATGTAAATGTTGCAGAAGGCGTTACTTTATCATGAATCGAGTCCAAGCTATTTAACATTGTATTGGAATGAAAATACACATCGGGATGTCCTTAAGTTTTCTTTGTTTATTCAAAACATCCTTGTCAATGACCGCCCAAAAAATAATCTAAACTGAAATTAAACAAAAGTAATTTGTCGTATGAAAGACACGCACGCACACACACACACAGCAGATATCCCATATGCCACCAGAAATCGTAAAATGTGACACGCATTAAATGTAACTTTCAATCAGAATGTTTTCTTCCCCTCTGCGTTTTGGGTTTCCTGTTGTCAGCAGAGAAACTTCACAGAGACAACATTCTTTACGTTTTTGTTTTGTGGTGAGCTTGCCATGCGTGGCCCTGCTGGTCGCCATTCCAACCCTAAGTTCTGCAGCTACGACACTATACCCAAAATGTGTTCCTCTATCTTTGCTTCGGATTTGGATTGTTTTGAGTAAAAACACTATTTGAGAACTTGGATTTGGAGGATATTTGGATTTTTTACAAATAGTATCCTACCCATATAGCCCTGATTTAATTCTCTGCCACTCAGATAATATTAAATGAAATAAAAAATTGACTTGTAAAAGATTCCTTGGTATAGTTTTTTTTTAGTAGATACCCCTGCTTGTAGCTCGTGTTCGTTGTTATGGTTTTCCCATTACCGTTAAGTTAAAACTGCCAGCCGTAAGTAAGAGGATGTCAACGAACAGAAGAAGCCTGGACAAGCAAAGGGAATAAAAATATGAAATTTCTCTTTTCCTTGGTTTGCCATTTTCTCCTCCTCCAGTTTGTAATACAGCAAAAACTCTATGATAGTGGCAGGCAAGTGAGGCCAGCCAGTCGGTGGGTGGTTGGGGTGGTGTGCTCGCCTGCTGCTGCTGTTTGCTGTCCGTTAATTCAAGTCATTTTGTAGTAGACGAAAATGCGGCAATTTATCTCACAAAAATATATACACATGCTTGTTTCGCTGTATGTGTGTGTGTGTGTGTGTGTTTGTGTTTGTCTGTATGCGAGTGTTTTGTTTTACCGGTAAATTTTTGCTGGCAGACATCTAAAATGTAAATGCCGGCAAGCTTAGCACACGCCAAGTGGGGATAAGTACTTTTGTTGCTGTTGTTGTTAACATGTTCTCTACTCGGCGAGGGCATTCGAAATGCCTACACACAGGATATGTCTGTACAATTCTAATGAAAATGCATGCAAAATGGTCCACAAAAATAGAATAGCCTCAACCAAATGGTGGTACGTACGTACGCACGTAGCGCCGTATGCACTCCGACTTACCCAGACATCCGTTCTACGGGAAAGGATATTCGATTTAAATCCACATTTTAGTATCCATAAGGAGCAATTTTGCCAGGAAAACTTAATAGATACCGAGCACAAATCATTGCCATTAATTATGTTTTGCTATGATACACACACACACGCACTCGCACACAACCACAGGCGCGCTTTGACTTTTTGTTTATTTTTTTGTTGTAAAAAAGACGAATGTTAAATTATTCCAATACGGCACTGGTGCATTAACGCAATTTTCGAAATGTTGGCATTTGTTTTTCTTTTGTGAATTCAATACACACACTTTTTTTCAATATTCGTCACTGGTGGTACCCCCAGTGAAATGGATTTTTGGATTTAATATTTTCTTTTTGTTCTATTATTCGACTAGTGAAAGGTATTCGGCCGCTAGGATCAACGTATACTTCACACACCGACGTTCGTCAAACGAATGAAACTCTTCTCTCGCCGACGTTTGCTTTTGCTTGCCCAAAGAGCTCTGTGCGCATGTTTTGCTCCTGTTTGCAGCTCTTGTTTGGTGGAGCAGAGAACACCGCATACAGTCGGAAAAGAAAATAACTTCAACTGCCGTGTATTAGCGGCACAAGGGACCAGGTAGGTGCTAGTCGGTGACACTCCAACAACATCTTAAGACGAATATATATTTAATGTGTGCCAAATTCGAAGAAGCGAACAGGATTTTCTTTGATTTGAATCCACTCCTATTGGGATCAAAGAATAAGGTTGATGTCTAACATTAGGTCTGTCTGCTTACTAATTCTGCAGGAGTTGTCTGACAACTACTTTCTGAGGGAGTAAGGATGATTTGTTCTCTTGCAAGAAAACGGTGACAAGTAAACAGATAATAAGAAAACAAAATAATTACAGATACATTTAAAGGTTTTCACTGGCTTAAGCTAGCCGGTTATCGTAATAAAAATTTGTCCATTCTTGCAGTTCTGGAACAGAGCAATAAATCATTTTTTTTTTTTTCAAAAATTGATTGACAGTTCCTGGTAACAGCTGCTGTGTTAATGCGGCTATCTGTATTGTTGTATCATGATATGTACTTTTCTCATATACTTTAAAACTAAAATTGTGTCCATGTATCACACGATGTGTGTAACTTCTACATATGGAAAATTTGACATAACATACGTGGTCTGTTCCAGAACTGCAAGAATATAAAACTTTTTACTACGATAAGCGATTTTCCATTTATGATATCGATAAAAATTGCAACTAGTAGTCTGGAACAGAGCATAAAACATCCTGGCTCTGTACCAGAAGCTGCAAGAATCTACTAGTTTTGCATTTTTTTCCGATGTCATAAAGAAATAATCGTTTATCGTAGTACAAATTTTTAAATTCTTGCAATATTGAAGCAGTCCATCCTTCTGATAGAGCTTTTAAGAGTTTAAAATATATTTGGAAGTAGCTCACAATCTCGGAAATGAATATGCGACAGCTTTTTTTAGAGCTGACAAACTATCGAGCTTCAAAAATATTTGGAACTAGCTCACAATCTCGGAAATGAATATGCGACAGGTTTCTTAGAGCTGACAAACTATCGATACCACGTCTTTGACATTTTCGTAGTTCTTAGTAAAAATATGAATACTATCGTTAGTTTTTCATCTGTATTTGGAAGAAATTTTTTCTGATTTTCCTGCCTGTCCGATGTCCAGTCACTGAAAATATGTAGGACAATTATTGTTTGACTCAAGTCATCGCAGGCTTGTTTATATATGGTCTGTTCCAGTGCCTGCAAGAATCTACTAGTTTTGCAATTTTCTTCGATATCATAAAGGGAAAATCGGTTATCGTAGTAAAAACTTTTACATTCTTGCAGTTCTGGAACAAACCAAAAGTTATATTATCTTACTATCGATATTGTCATCGATTGTTTGGCAGCACTAAGATCAAACAATATTATTTATGTTTTTCCCCGACACATCGCTCGATTTGCTTTACTCGGTTAAAGCTTGTTTGCTTAGAGGATCCTGGTTTTTAAAATGGCGGTTTGGCATTGGCTTTTAGGAATCGGATTGACTGCAATTGTCGCAATAGTTACCCAATATCGAGCGTTACCGTCGACGAATTCATATTCTCGAAAGAACGAACAATTTGTAGAGTAAGTAAAGTGCGACACTTTTACGCAGCTAACGAGACGCTTTAACACGATCCTTTTTACAGTCCCGATAATATATGCCCCATTTGCTTTGAGGTAATGGAGTCCAGAGACATGAATTATTTGCCATGTATGCATGCCCTTCATGACCACTGCTTAACACGATTGAAAACGCACTCCAAAAAATGTCCGAAGTGTCGTGCTCCATTTTAAATGTGAAATTAAAAAAAAAACGTTGCCTTAGATGTGTTTATTGAATAAAATTTTTGGTTTCCCGTTCTTTAAAGTTAAAAATAAAGAAAACTGATTTGATCAAATAAAGGAATTAAAAATGGGCAGTGCAACATTGGTCCAATTGTCATGCCATCTTAAATTTTGGAACGATGACATATTCTTTCTGAATATCTCTTTGGACTCGACTAGACTTGGATTGCTAGGGAAATTCTCAAACCAGAACATTAGCTGTTCTGCGAGTTGTTCATGGTTTTGGAATACGAAGCCGTTTTGTCCAGACTTCACCAATTCATGAAGGCACTTGAAATCGAATGCACAAACAGGCAGTCCGCAGCCGAACATGTCAACAACTTTCATTGGCAAGTCCAAGCCACTGGAACTCCAGTGCAGACAAACACCAAGATCCGCTGATGCCAATAAAGTAGGGTAATCTTCTGTATCTAGCCAAGGTGTAATAATTTCAACATGAGAAAATTTCAACTGTTCAATCTTCTTTTGATATTCTTCTTTCTGTGGGCCCTTCCCAGTTATCACGCACAACAGGAAGGGAAAGTTTTGTGGTCTGTTATTTGCTTCTTTTTCGTAAACTGCAATGGAATTTCAACTTTGAAGTTATTTTAACTACTAACTTGGTGGAGAATGTATATATATACCTTTTAAGGCATCTAATAGTATGCCAAAATCTTCATCCGGTGTCCAACTAGTTGAAGACACTAATATCGCCATTCGATGAGGTTTGTGAAGTACCGTACCGTTGCTAAGCTTCTGTGTTAAAGCTGTACATTCCACAACACCAGACTCCTTCAAATCATCGTAGCGGCTTGGTAAAAACTGAGGATACTCCTTGGACAACTTCATAAAAAGCTCATGTTTCTTAGTCAGCTCTATTGGATGAAATTGCAGAGGGGGTCTATCGTATAAAACGGTGACGTTTCTAAAATAAAACGAATAACAAGATAAAACACCTGTGTACACAGCTTTTAAACATCTCCCCTCACCTGATGTTCCAATTATTCGTAAGATCTTCTTTCATCGCCTTCGTAACGCAAAAGTTGGCATCGGCTTTCGATCCGAATTTCCGCTCTATCCACCTGGCTATGCGACAGAATCGATTTTTCTCTCCTCCAGTCATTCCTAGGGCCAATATTGTGTATGTATAATTATGCCAGTCGATGACAAACTTTGTCCGTGTTATGAGACAATACAAGTAGCATACAACTAGTGCAGGAATTCCTGGTGGGTTTTGTAGCAATAAGAAACTTGACCTCCTTATGGATGCAAGAGCAATCATTAAGCTTAATGTTTGCCAGAATGTCTTAAAAATCAGCTTCAGTGTCGGTGTTAAATTTGTAACTGGAACCGGAGATAGTTCATGAATTTTACATCTCGGCAGCGCAGTACTCAACTGCTCCAAGGGCTTGCTTTCTACATATCCAATCAAATCTACGTTATAACTGTGATCCAAAAAGCTGCATGCATGGTACTCCATGCGCGGACTACGTCCGATATCCCCTAGTACAACAATACAGACATTTTTATTGCGAACTTTTAGTTCAGCCATGGTAATGTGTCATTGGTTTTAGAAGTTAAGGCGAATGACATGGAATGAATGTTCTAATGCAATCAATTTATGAAAGTAAATACGTCAACAGAAAACAAATGATGATGACCGGTTGTGGGATAGAGCTGTCGTTCCATAATGAACTGGTTCAAAGGACATACTCGGTTCGTGGAACTATCGGAACTAGATGTCAATTTCTTGTTCATTTAGTTCTAAAGTGTTAGTGCCATGGCTCAATAAAAAAGGTTGCTCAACTTTACCGAAACTAGAAAAATGCAACTCTGTGACTTTAAAATATGCAACAGTTGGTTTTGTTTATTTTTCATTTTTTACACAATTATTATATTGGGGGAAACCCGCAAAACAAGAATGGAATTTTGGGGTTATTCCACAAGATTGAATCTAAAGTAGTAGGACAATACAGATTTATTCCAAAATTGTACAAAGAGTTGCCCACTAACTTCGAAAATATACAACCAAATTTGAAATAATTTCAAATTATTGTATATTTTATTTAAAACAATACACACATACACAAAATGTGTATATGTTTTGACCGAATAAGGGCACCAAAGAAAAAATGTATTTTGGGGGTAGCTTTGTTCTACCTTCTGTGATTGTGCCTTGCATCTACCTTAATACGGCTCATGGTAGAAGAATACAGGCAGATGCATTAACGCTTGGGAATGATTTTCAAAAAAGTATATTTTTATACACTTATCAGAGGTTGTTTAGAAATGCATTTTTTTAAAGTTATAGTTACAAATGTAAATAATTGTTCATTCAATATTTTCAATTTAAAAGTTGCTTTGACAGTTCGTTGTCCCAGCAGCTGTGCCCGAGCGACTACCAGTATTTTCTACCATGGGCAATTCTAAGTGAAACATGTTAACCTTTCGGTTTGTTTTTATGTACATTTACCGAAAAGAAGAAGAATAATAAAGATTTCTTACTTACTTGCTATCACTTCACTTTGAATTACAAGTAAACAAAAACAAAACTCGAAAAGAAAAACATGAAACCATTGGAGTAAAGCCATACGCTAACCAATACAGATTCCAATTATTGCTACCTCTGAACCCCATCAAATGTCGATTCTAGTGAAACGACGTCGCGGTCGTCCCAGGCTCCTCGAGTCCAAAGCCATTAAGAACTTTGATAGTGCGTTGATTGAAGAAGTCAAGAAGTTTCCACTCTTATATGACCGGGAGCACCGAAATTACCGCAATAGAGCAGAGACAACCCGCTATTGGCGGAGGGTTGCTACTTCTTTAAATACTTCTGAGAGTGTTGTCAAAAACAGACTGTTTCAATTGCGAAATCGTTACAATGTGGAGAAACGTCGTATGGAACTAAATCCTGCCACTTATGATGGAGAGTCCACTTGGCCGCTGTATAAAAGTATATCATTCCTTATAGAGTTTGGAAAAACGCGTCCCCGCCATTTATTTATGCAAAATGCACCGGGAACATCAAGCGAGGACGACTGCAATGCAGACGATGACGAAGAGAGGTAGGAAATGACCTAGGTATATAGAGAAAGTTCTAAAAATGAATTATTGTATTTTTAGGAATGATTGTGTCACCAATGATTTACATTTAATACAAAATTCCGAGAATCATTCAGACCAACAAACTATAGTTAACCAAATTACACGGCAACATCTCTCCACTGATAGTGACGAACTCTACGATAAAAAATTCAAAGCATTTGGGGAGTTCTTGGCATCGTCACTTATTGAAATGAGTGAAATGCAAGCTTTACACTTGGTGAAAAAATTCACAACCGACTTGGTTGAGTATTCAAAATTGGGGGATATTAACAACTTGAATAAAAATGTACATCATTCGACTAATGGAAATGAATATTTATTAGATTAAATAAAACCAAATATAGTATAGAGCATCACTTGTATTTTATTTGGAGCAAAACCATTGGATTCGAAACCATTAATCTGGACAGGGGATAAATAGTATAGCGTGATATTGAAATAAAAAAACATTTGCAATGTTAAACAATAAATTGGTCCATATGTATATTTAAAAAATTTTCTAAAAATATAAAATAATATTTTTTGCTCAGAACTGTTTTTGTTCAAGCGCAACTAAATATTCTCACCATAGTCTGAGGAGATATGGAACTAGAATCTAAACGATTTGTGATTCGAGAAAATTCAATTTTAATTTATTTTTTTTTTTTTTTTTTGTAATTTATCTTCTTGTTAATATCAGTTGCTCTAGAAGGGAATTTAATACCCAATATTATATTACCATCTGTATATAGTATCCTTTGTGTACATTAAATACTTTGTATTTGAAGAAAATTATTTAGATAAATGACCAATTCATATTTTATCACAAATGATCCACGTTACAACATATAATATAAACTTGAACTACTTTTTTTTGCGTTTCACGTTATTACAGCATTTTCAAGTTCATTGAAAAATCTTTGGCCTGAGGAGGAGCTTACTGCAAAATCTCAAAAGAGGTAAATTCTATATTTTCATCAAAACATTTACGCAAAACATGTACGCAGTTTGTATGTGTGGGCATTGTTTTTAATAATAAAGTGCAAGTAAAGAAGTGCAAGAATGTAAACCTTTTTTGTAAGATCACCGATTTTTCAATTATTATATTCAACGTTCATGTGAACGTGTTTTCCAATTTTATAAACATGTCTATAATGTAGAATGGGACTCTTCTAAAGACTTCCTATTTCCTTCCAAGTTAATTTACCTTTCTGGATATGTCATGGTTGTTTCTATGTCGCAAAGAGCTTCGTTTCATAGCCACATTATAAAACCGTTGGACGGAGATATTTCTGAATTTTATTTTTCTTGTTATATTTGGTATTTATTCAGTTATATAGGCTACCAATAATCACAATCATAGGCATAATTAATTTTTATACCCTCCATTAACCCTATATTAACTTTGTCATTCCGTTTGTAGCACCTCCAAATATAATTTTTAGACCCCACAAGTATATGTACTTTGTTGTAACAGACAAAGCCAACTTACATGGTTATGCATATGAAAGCATAACAAGTGGAGTGAGATGAAAATGTGGTTGCATAATTTAGAAAATGTTCTAAAAGAATTTTAGTTTAATTAAATTCTTTGGTTCATCTTCTATTTAGCATACGATCTAAAAAAGTTTTTTTGTCGGAACAACAAACTATAGTTTTAAAATAACTCCTGGGGAGAATATCCCAGACAAAAGCCAAGGGAACTGATGAGGATTGGTGTCTCTTTCCGAAACCTAGGTATTCTCTGCCTTACCCTCTGGTAAACATTACCATCGTTCTCCATTAATAAACAAACATTGTTTTTACAAAAACAACAATAATGGGATTAAGCTTAACTATTTTGCAACAACAAAATATTCTTGATCAGCGTAAAATTCTCGATTTTAGTACGTCCGACTGCCTGTTGTAATCATGCTAACTTTTGTACAAATTGAGATAGAATGCAACAATTTTGCACACATATAATAGGCAGGTTAAGTTCGTAAATGGGCCATGCCGGTTTACGTTTTCGTATAGCCCCCATATATATGAACCTCCGGTATTTTGACGATATAAATCACATTTTCTAACAGAATTGTTTAAAATTTGGTTCAAAGAGCTTGTAACGGATTCAACCTCACGTTTTCCTATAGCCCTTAATTTTCGATACTTCTTGATATTCGGTATTCGAATTTACGGTATTTTTAAGACTTTGCCAACCGATTTCGCTGGCAAAAATTAACGTGAACTCAATATTCATATCCGATTTTATGATTTTGAAAGGTTTACTTTACCTCATGGTGGAGCGTATGAAAAGTTTATGTTTTAGTAGATTTTTTGGCAGAAATCATTTGGCAACAAGAAAAACTAAAGTATGATGATATATGATATATGATTCGCCTTAAATTGGCCTTTTCTTCCTTCAAATCTCTATAACTGCAAACTAAAAAGAAAACTAACAAACATAGAATGTATATGTTTTAGACGTTTATTTGGTCGGAACTGAAATCTTTGTTATATATGTCGAAAAAAAAACAATGTGTTTGACCTTTTATATACATCTTGGTAACTATGATGTTAGGTGGATTCTTTGTAATTATATTGAATTATAAATAAGCCTTCAACAAAATACCAACTCTCCTGTGTACATAGTCATATGGAGTAATGTGAACCTACCTTGCGTAATTCTAGTCCTTTTCGATAACAACTTTCTATGCGGCTTTGGGGTAGTTTGAACGGCGGCAAGGCTCGAATCGACTCCTATCTCTGGATCTACTTCCTTTTCGTATTTCACGGTAATTTTTTTTCGTAAAATTATCTACCAATAATTTTTTTGTAGAGAGTGATGTAAACAATTTCGAAGTGATGAGTCCCCCAGCATAGTCTCTCCACGTTCATAAAGGTTACTTTGATTATTACCAGACGTTTTTTGTGTGTCCTCATTGGACCAACCACCAAAAAAAAAAGAATCGAGAAAAAGAATATACCTTTTTTGCGACGAAGTCAGTGAACTCTTATCTGTTTATAATAGAAAAATAGGAATTTTGTTGGCGTGAGAAGATAACTAATCGAGTATGGCTCATTCTGTGCGAGTAGAACGCAGCATACATGAGATGCTAAAGGATACACCGTCCATGAATGAAAGTGATAATGCAGTTCATACAGGAACAGAGGATTCAAGTAGCTGCCCACCCCCTTTCAAGTCGCCACCCACAAGTTTGTCTCTAAGAAACCATTCAGGTTAGTTTTTTTGTTTTTTCAATCCAACGACAACGCGTTTTAACAAAATTATTTCTATGCATTTACAGCACCCACAACGCCTATGTCTCCCCGAAGTCCACATAATGGTAGTGTAGATACCAGTTTACTACGTACCGGTGCCTCGAAAATTGACAGTATAAAAAATTGGAGTATATCTACATACAAGTGCACGCGGCAAATAATGCTCGAAAAGTTGGGAAAGTCGCAGCGTACTGTAGACTCGGAATTAGAGGCACATATTGAACAGTTGCGTGACACACAGCGCAAATACCTGTCCGTTTTACGACTGGCCAGGGCATTTAGTTCTCATTTTCACCATGTAGTCGTAACCCAGCATGCGTTGGCCGATGCCTTTGCCGACTTGGCTCAAAAGAATCCAGAGCTTCAAAAGGAATTCACATGTAACTCCGAAACCCAACGATCATTAACAAAAAATGGGGAACTACTTTTGAATGCCTTGAATTTTTTCATATCATCGGTAAATACATTGTGCAATAAGACCATTGACGATACCCTGCTCACGATAAGGCAATACGAAACTGCCAGGTAACGAACAAATATATATGTGCAAACTGTGGCAGGAATCTTTATTTATGAATTTACCCTTCCAATCTAGAATTGAGTTTGATGCATATCGCATGGATTTAGAAAATAGCAAACCTGAAATACCTCAGTCATCAACAGCAGAGGATTTGCAAAAGAATTACACTCAACACAAGGAACTCTACGAAAAATTGAGAGATGATGTTGCTATAAAAATGCAATTTCTGGATGAGAATAGGGTTAGTTGCTGTTAACAAACACACCAGACTGCGGCTGCGGTTAGAGTAATTTCGATTATAATTTTAATTTCAGATCAAAGTAATGCATAAACAATTGGTGCTCTTGCACAATGCAATTTCGGCCTACTTTTCTGGAAATGCAACTGCTCTTGAAACAACGCTGAAACAATTCAATATAAAGGTTTTAATTGCGAACGCACAACTAATTCAAACTCAAAGTAATATCCCAATAACTTTTTTGTGTTTCAGTTAAAATCTCCTAATTCCGTAACAGGGTCATGGCTGGAACAGTAGTAATCCGTTTTACTGAATATCTCTTCTATAATATTCCTTGAAAAGCAAAACCAAAAGTATTTTCTCTTGTCCATTCATATATTCTTATGGTTAATTAACTAAAGAACAAACATAAAATGAATAAATCGTACGTATATGTATTTTTATGGCTTTTTATGTACTAAATATATTTACGAACTTGTATTTAAATTGTTCTATGTTTTGTGATATACTTCGTGAGTGCTTGCCCTGGGGTCAAGCGTATTACAAATCTGTAATATGTAAAGTGCGTAGCGTATTACTTAAGAATGTCTTATGTCAGCGTCGTAATTTTTTTGTCACTCGTATTCGCCGAGATATTACTACACCTTTGCCAGAAGTAATTCGAAACATTTCCATTCGTTATTCGAATAATCCCATTTGAAATTCGACACAAAAAAATTACAAATGTGTATTTGTCATCGGCTTTGCATTTGGTTTTTTTTTGAATGACAAATAATTGCGAATAAAATAGTTTGAATTTCAAATGTAATTATTGAATAACAATTGCAACATTGCGAATTACAAATGTAATTCTCGAGCTAGAATCAAAATTTTTCAAATTATAAATTGCAACAAAAAATGTTTCGAATTACATCTGAAAAACGTATAGTCTCATAAGAAAAGCTTCTTCTCACCAATCGCTTATCAAAGGTATAAAATAGATGTCTATATTCCATTTAATTAGGACAATACACAGTCTGATCTAAGACTTGAAAATATAAATTTGAATATGTCAGTTGTTATATGTGAGAATAAAATGACTTTATATGAATGAATCTATCTATGGATGAATTCTATGAATGTCCTTAAATAAATATTTTCAAAATTGTATTTTTTTATTTTTGATGAGGAGCTCGAAACACAACGTTACAAAGCCAATTTATGAAAATTTGTATGTTCTATCAAAAATAGTGATTACTTCACACAAGGAACCTCACGGGCACAACCGCATTTCACAGTGAGTGCTGGCGAATCTGAATCAAGGACGGCTATTCCATACAAGCTGTGACAAGCTTCATGAACATGCTTTTGGGCCATAAAAAACGTCTAATTCGTTTCTAATTTTAATTGCGTTAATTTTTCATTCAGTATTCAACTTGATATGTCAAACAAGTTGTTGTAATTCGAATTCGCCGTAGAAATACATAACAGAAATTCAAACATCATAGAGGAAAAAATAAACACAAAAATATAAAAATCAAATTTTGTGATATAATTCAAATAAAAAAAAAACAGAATATGAGGTGCTGTGCTGTTTGCAAAAGAAAGGATAGTGAACAACAAGCAACATTTTTCAATGTACCCAAGGAAGAGACGAAGAGGTTGAAGTGGAGTGCGATTTGTGGGATCACTTTAAACCCAAACGCCAAAATATGTTCTCATCACTTCAACCCAATGTATATAACGGGCATAAGTTGTAGAATGAAATTATTACCATGCGCTGTACCAAAGATGTATCAATTCTATTCTGGTGGTTCAAAAAAGAAATGTCCAGGGTACGTATTTGCTAGAAGTGAGAATATACATTAAATATATAAAATACGGTGTATATATAGCGGAGCCCAATGCAAAGAAGTCGGGAGGATGCTTCAGTGTGAGGCTGGAATAAATAAAAATGACAAAGAAGTTGTTATGCCCTACCATATCACAGAACCATTAATGAAAGATGCCGAAACACAAACAGAGTAAGCATTGTTTGGACATCTCCACACACACACACATTAGGTCTTCCATGGTAGGTACATGTACCTCCTGATACTCCGTATTTCGTATTTCTATAATTATTCGTTTATATAATTTTGCTTATAGCTCAGTAATTTTTGTTTCGGAGAATTATGTAGAAGTTCTAAGGAAGCTCCAAAGCCAAGTCAAAGATTTGGAATTGCAACTCCTGAAGGCGAATTCGGCACTAAAGTCATTGAAAAACCTATTTAGCAAAGGCCAAATCAAAAAACTGGAGACCAATAGCAGAGTAGAGTGGGAGTGGGAGGATATTTCAAATGCCATATGTCTCCACGCTTCCGGCCCAAGAGCATATAGACATTTATATAATAAAGGATATCCCCTTCCTCATATTAATACTCTATCTAATGCTACAAGGAGAATTATTTATTTTATTAAGAGAATACAAAATAAGTGATAACATAACATATATTTTGTATTTTCGCACTGGATTCCGTGCTGTTAAAAATGTCGTGAGGGAGGAACCGGAAGGAGTGGGACGACATTGCCCATCTCCGCATTATGTTTGTTAATAATATTGCGATGCACTATGTTTGGATGATGATCCATTCTACAGCTATCGTACGCACCAGCAAGACAGACGGACGGGTCGCCTCCAAATGTCCTGAAACGGATTTCGTCGAAAGAGGCGTTATTTCGATCAGATACATTTTGGTCATATGAAATTATACAGACCTTCTCTAGCGATATGACTGATGGTGTAATACGTTTACACTTCCAGTTATTGTAGTATTTTCAGTTTATATGTTAAAAAATATACTAATCTCAACTAATATATACATATGAATAAACCAAAACAAACTTATTCAATGTTTCAGAATGAAGAGTTCTGATTGGTGCAAACCAATTTGCCCCAAATTTTATACTTCAAATAAATTCGCCCTGGTTAAAACTTTGACATATCAAGTTTCTAAAAAAGTTGCTTTGTTGTAATTTTCGCCTATGTTGCTACCTGGTATTTCTACCATGACTACACCTTTGCCAGAAGTAATTCGAAACATTTCCATTCGTTATTCGAATAATCCCATTTGAAATTCGACACAAAAAAATTACAAATGTGTATTTGTCATCGGCTTTGCATTTGTTTTTTTTTTTTTGAATGACAAATAATTACGAATAAAATAGTTTGAATTTCAAATGTAATTATTGAATAACAATTGCCACATTGCGAATTACAAATGTAATTCTCGAGCTGGAATCAAAATTTTTCAAATTATAAATTGCAACAAAAAATGTTTCGAATTACATCTGAAAAACGTATAGTCTCATAAGAAAAGCTTCTTCTCACCAATCGCTTATCAAAGGTATAAAATAGATGTCTATATTCCATTTAATTAGGACAATACACAGTCTGATCTAAGACTTGAAAATATAAATTTGAATATGTCAGTTGTTATATGTGAGAATAAAATGACTTTATATGAATGAATCTATCTATGGATGAATTCTATGAATGTTCTTTAATAAATATTTTCAAAATTGTATTTTTTTATTTTTGATGAGGAGCTCGAAACACAATGTTACAAAGCCAATTTATGAAAATATGAACGTTCTATCAAAAATAGTGATTACTTCACACAAGGAACCTCACGGGCACAACCGTATTTCACAGTGAATGCTGGCGAATCTGAATCAAGGACGGCTATTCCATACAAGCTGTGACAAGCTTCATGAACATGCTTTTGGGCCATAAAAACGTCTAATTCGTTTCTAATTTTAATTGCGTTAATTTTTCATTCAGTATTCCATCTTCCTGATCTTCAGCTTTGAACATGTCCTATAAAAAGTTTTTAAATATTGTGACTATTATGGCATATTTGTTCATTTTACTTACAGGATCGTAAATAACTTTTATGATGAGTGAACAGCTAGGACAAGTGGCTACCTCTTCACCCTCCATCAACTCCTCCTATAAAATTATACAATTTGTTTTAAAGCATTGCGCTCAGTGCTACCCTATCCATACTTACTTTGGTAATTTGGAATCGGTCTCCGCATGGGCAGGGATAGTAGTAAATTTCCTCTTCCTCGTCATACTCAAAATCCTCTATTTCAACTTCGTCGTGATAAATACTCATTTTAATTTCCACATTTACCACATTTACAACTAACCAACTAACTATTTATTTACCAAACAAAAACGTGTGATTCATAGAAGTGGCAAACAACCGATAGCAACATCGATTAATAGTTATTTCTATCGATATAATACGATAGGGTGTTTTTGTTGTACTTACATGAAATCGTGGCTCAATTATATGGGCTCTTTTTGTTGTGGCGTTATCTGGAAATTGGCCAAGTTTCAACTTTCTAAAACCAAAAAAAAAAATATATATATGGGCTGTTCCAGCACCTGCAAGAATTTACTAGTTTTGTAACTTTCTTCGATATCATAAAGGGGAAATCGATTATCGTAGTAAAAACATTTACATTCATGCAGTTCTGGAACAGACCGATAATTTCTTCCTTCGAGCGAATTAATCTAAAAAGAGCTGTTCATGGCCCAATTATAAGGTCTTTCTTTGAGCGAATTGATCTAAAAACAGCTGTTCATGGCCCAATTATAAGGTCTTTCTTCAAGCGAATTGATCTAAAAACAGCTGTTATTGGATCAGATGAAATGTCAAAATTCATGCTTAAAATTTTGACTTTTCATACAACCGAGACACAACTTCGTACAACCGTCCCAAAAACGATACAATCTTGAATACATCCTCTCCAAGTTGTACAACAAGTTGTATCGTGTGTGGCTTGCATTAGAACGAGAATAGAGGACTTGGTGAAACTAGTTCCTCGTTCACTGAGTTGTACACTCATAAGCATAAGTTGTAAACAAACGAATGAATCAATCAATGATTGTGGATTATTTTGATTGTATTATAAATAAAAATTGACATGGCAAATTCAAATAAATTAAGTGATAAAAATCTCTATGAAATATTGGGAATTGACTTAGAGGCCGAAGAAAGTGAAATCCGGAAAGCGTATCGGAAAAAGGCCTTAGAATGCCATCCAGATAAGAACCCTGACAACCCAAAGGCAGCCGAGCTTTTTCACGAGCTATCGAAGGCATTAGAAGTTCTAACCGACGCAGCAGCTAGAGCGGCTTACGACAAAGTTTGGAAGGCTAAGAAAGCGGCCGAGGTTCGCCATAAACAATTAGATTCGAAACGACAAAAGCTAAAGGAGGACCTGGAACGAAGGGAAAAAGATGCACTAGATAATATATACTCAAAAAGTCAGAAAACTTATAAGGTGCCGAAAACGGATGAGGAAATACTCAATGACCAAATTGAACGTTTACGAAGAGAGGGGTCCCGCTTACTTGAAGAAGAGCAGAGATTACTCAGGGAACAGTTACAAAACACTTTAGTGGGACATCAAAGAACAGACGACACCGCTTCTAAGCCACATCGACTGAAGATTAAATGGAATTCAAATAAGAAGGATGCTTCAAACGGTGGCTACTCCGACGACAATTTAACAAAGTTTATGAAGAAGTATGGTGATATCATTGCCTTGGTAATGAGCAAAAAGAATGGAAGTGCCCTTATCGAATTCAAGTCACGGGAGGCTGCGGAAATGGCTATGACGTACGAAAAGGGCCTAATTGAAAACCCCTTGCATATAGAGTGGGTGGACGAAACAGCCAAATCGAGTGAGGCAAATAAATCTCAACAAACAAGTAAAACAACACCACAGGACTATGAAGACTTGGTGATGCGGAAACTGAGACAGGTTGAAGAACGAAAACGTTTAATAGAGCAAATGTTAAAAGAAGAAGAAAACGACTAAATACATTGTGGTTAAAAATATGGATATTGTATTGATAGTGTCCTATATTTATTTAAGCAAGACTTTATTAGTTTGTGATGTTCTGCGACCAGTGACCAACACATACGAAAACATGGAGGTCAATAGTATAAGTTTCGTAAAAGTCTATTTTAAATGTGATTTTCTTTCTGTGTTCTTTGTATTCATATTAAATGTTTATTTTGGAGATAAATGTAGGCAAAATTAGGGTTCAGCCAGAGTTTGGACAGATAAATACCTTTAGTGGTCAAAAGCTAAAGGTTAGATTAGGCATATAAATAGAAATGCGATTTTAAAGAGGACTGTAGAATGGAAGCTACGGAGAATATTAATTATATCTGCGCATTAGATACCAGAAGGAAAGACTATAAAAATATCTTCATGCGAGATAATCTTGTATAATTGGGATATACCTAGTTTTCATTTTACTACTGTTATTTTCATCTTGCAACTGTTGTTTAATATTTTCGTATGACCCTTCATGACCAAGTTTAATATAAAATTTTAACACGGGCCAAGCTATGATTGTTGCTCGTACTCCATTCATTATGAGATTTTTGAGAATATGATTTTTTTTTTGAAATTATTGAACTTTTGTGTTGAATTATCTAAAAGAGTAGACCTATACAATCAATTTTCAAACTAGCTCTAACATAGGCAAAACTACTTAAATGAGCTAAGTTTGATGAAAATCTTCCTACAGTTATTATTCAAAATGTTGATGGTTATTGTGTCCATTTTTGCGTCGGAGTTATTGTGCACACAAATGGAGCCGGAATGCCCTGTTTTTGTCCAAAGAGACCTGGGTTCTTAAATCCGTGTTAGCTACCAGCTAGAGATATTAAACAATAACTTAAAGGACATACTCATATTTAAACTGACTTTTGAGAGAAAAGGAGTAGCTTTAGGAAAAAAATGGGAAGTTTTTATTGCCAACTATTATTGTACGTTTTAAGACTAATTAACTCCGTAGTTGCATATGAACATCCTTGGAAAAATAACATTTTAAATGGTTGGTATTGAGAAAGGGGTTGAAACGATGGGATGACCCTTATATAACGGTAGCTCCGGTGGCATTTACCCACGAAATTGTTTCAAATTTGATATTTAAGACTTACAATAGATAACAATCCTTGTGGTGTAAAATTGCCTATAAAGGTTCCTGTTTTGGCATGGTCCCCATATAACGGCTTCATCCACTTTATGTATGGCTTTTTAAACGTTTAACTGCATTAGCCAAACGGTCTTATTGGTATTTGTATTTTAGAGTGGAACTCGTTTGAATCTAAGTACGTTAATATAAAAATGTTTTCTTTACCCAATGATGGGAGGTATTAAAAATTCGGTCCGCCCATTATTATGTTTTTTCCTTGATTTTTCATGGTCGAAATAAAGTATTTTGACAGCCAGTCTGATGATCAGCTGTTCAGAAGCTCCGAGGACCTATAGTTGGGTCACGGTTGAAATCGCAGACGTCAAATGTCAAAACAAAAATCAGATGTTCATTGTTTAGTGTTATGTTTTGTTTGGATGCAATTGGATAGTATTGTTTGTATTATGTGGCAAAATTTAATTAAGAAATAAGCGAAACCAAAACGATTTACACACCTTGTACTTTTTTAACAAAATGGATCGAACGAAAAGAGATTTGGAGGGTGTAATAAACTCCCAAAAAGAACAGCTAGCTCGATATGAGAAAAGATTGAAAGACGTTGTTACTGCATACAAAGGTTTACTCAAGGAGAAAGAGGCATTGGAGACCAGTTTGGCTGCGATTAGTTCCCAAGAGAAGAAAGTAGACAATGGAAATAGTTCTTCCACGTCCGACGTGTCTGGCCAGTCAGAAGCCGAAACTGTTCCACCGCCTGACACAAACAATGATGATAATAATGAGAAAGCCAGCATCCAAGGCCAGATTGCCACTCTAATGAATTCATTGGCAACATTATCGGCCGAAAAGTCTCGCATGGAAGCTTCTTTCCAGGCTGATAAAAAACAACTTCGTGCTCAAATACAGCTAAAGGAACAGCTGATTAGTGATCTTCACTCTAAGCTACAGGAAAGTAAAGAGCGCGCTAAGGCAGATGTTGACGAAGTCAAGGCCAAGTGGATAATCGAAAGACAGGAGCGTGAAAAGGAAACCAACAATCAAATGTTAATGATCCGGGAACTACAAAAACTGTATGCGGACGAGCGACACCTGAAGGAAAACATTGAGATGCAACTGAACAACTTTAAAACAAATTTCGCCAGCAACGAGGCCGAACACTCCCGGGTAAACGAATTGCAAACTCAGCTTAAAGAAGCAAAAGCTCAATTAAAGCAACTTCAGGCAGAAAAAGGAGTTTCTGACAACGCTAAAATTAATGTCAACAGCACGACTCTCTTGAAGCAACTCCAACAAGAAATGCAACAGTTGAAAGAGCAGCATGCTGTGGCCATTAAATCTGAACAGCGAAGAGTTCAGATGGCAGAGGAAGAGTCGCGCAAGCAAGCTATTCTCCACGAAGCGAATTTGGCAAATCTTGAAACTAAATTAGCCGAGCTGAGTAGGACCGTGGGTAACTATGACCGACTTCGTCAACAGGATCAGGAGGCAATTAATGTTCTGAAAAAGCAACTGCAAGACTTGGAAAGAACAACAAATGAGAATTCTTCAACGCTGCACAGCAAGTGTGCCGAAAAGCCTATTCAGGCAAACGATAGCTACAACGACACTGATCTGGGCCACATTGTAGATGAAATATTGCGTTTAAAACGGATAATTATCAAAGAAAACTCTCGCTCGCCGAACCCCATTGATTTGGCCAGCATATTCTCTGTAGGTACGGACCATTCGCACTGTCAGGCAGAATTGTTGGACACTTTGCATCAACTTGATGGGGCTAGAAATGAGATAGAGCAGCTTAAAGAAAAGGTTGAGCAGCAGAAATCGCACATTTCAACGTTGCAAGAAAAGGTCAAAGTTTTGAACCGCAACATAGACGAACAGGAATTGGAATTAAAGCATTACAATGAAAAGTTACAGATAAGTATCAAAGAAGAAAGAGACAAATGGAAGAGTTTGCAGAGTGACATTGAAAATGACTATCGCAATAAATTAAATGAGCTGGAGCAACAACTTCAGAAACAAAGACAGCGGTCACTGCAGCTGTTGGACGAAAAAGAACAAGAAATTAAGGCTTTACAGACGTCATTTGAGATATTTCATGCTTCAAACAATACGGGAATTTCTTTAATGCCAAATGAAGCTCCAGTCTGTGCATCTTCTGACGGTGAAAGTAATGAAGATGTCCCCGCACCCTCCAACGTTCGCAAGGTGTCACTGAAGGCAAAGAAACTTTCTGTAGGAGAAAGTTGTCATATGCTTCATTACGCGAACGAAATCGCCAGGAAGGACATTGAGATTGCCAACTTGAGAAAGGCTAAATATCAAGCGGAAACTGCTATGCGGAAGGCCATCCACGACAAAGTTGTAAGTCAAGAAGAGCTCAGCAATAAAATCGACGCACTGGAAGAGCAAGTTGATAGGTAGGTATTCAGTCAATATTACGAAGTGGATGTACCATTTTCACATTCTGTTTTTCTTAGACTCGAACGATGTCAGACCCGAGAGGGAGCCAATTTGGAATACCTAAAAAATGTCGTCATCAGCTACATTGTATCCAAAGATGCAGATGGCAAACGTCATATGATGAATGCGATAAGTGCTGTCCTACAGTTTACGCCAGCCGAAATGCAAGTCATCAATGCTTCATTCCAAAAGAAGTAAAACTGTATTATTAATAGTGTCTGTTAAACATTCTTAAGATTTATATTATACAATATTGACCAAATTATGCTATCGTACAATTTGTATTACATTTAATGGAACCCATTTACAGGAAATTTTGTCAGATGTTCCTTTAAAACAGCGGGAAACATTGAAAAGAATTTAAATCGGGCACCCATATGATTGGAATGCGTTAGCATTTCGTAGGCTGACTTAATAGTTTCTCGGTTTTCGGGTAGTGCATTTTTTACTAAGGCCTATAAGTGTAAACAAGATGGTTAGTTGACACAATTTATGCATCTGTATGGGGAAATGTTACCTCTAATCGTGCTTTTCCTTCCATTCTATCTAAGAAAACGCCTTGTTCTACCGGCCCAAAACAAACGACTTGATTTTTTTGTTCTGCCACAGTTTTAATTTGACGAAAATCGACATCAGCAGTGAGGTCAGCCGTTCCAGGCGACTTCAAAGGATCGTGCAGAGCGTGTTTTTTGAATGCCTATATTTGACAATAAATGTGAATTTATATTAAAATCGATTTGAAAACATACCCTAAAAGTGTCCTCTTTTTCTCCAAAATGGCCGTAATCCATTATAAGACCAATGCCACCGTCAGATTCGAAACGATCCGCCAGCAGGCCGACCAAACGATCCGCTTCCAAAGAGTACTCTAAAGTCGTCCTTGTTTCGCCAGCTACAGGCGTATATATCTTTGAAAGAGGTGTTTGATTTTTAGATAAAACGAGCCTGAAATCAGTTCCTTTTTCTTCTGCCAAATCGATGAGAATCTCTTTCCACACGCCTTTATCTAGCTGGAACTTATGTATTGGCAACGCATCAAAGAATTCATGAGCCATTACAACAGAAAACTTGCGTGGAACGTCTTCCAATCTACTGTACCAATAGATTTTTGTGCCAGACGCTGTTTCACCTTTGCGATAGTACACGTCGACATTTGGATCGCAATCATCAAAGTTATAGCAGAGAAGTTGTGCTTGTATTTTGCTGAGGTGAGGACTTATTTCCACCATGTGTATGGAGAAGCCGGTGCTGAGTTTGAATTTGGACAATACTTTTATTACATCGCGCATCAGAGTTCCCCTTCCCGGACCCAATTCCACCAACTGAAACGGTGGACTTCCCAGCTTTTGCCATTCACTCAAAATCCAAATGGAAACTAGCTAAGTACTTTGAATCTATAAATTTGTAATGTTGTTGGTCGGGCCTAATCTTACCTCTCCGAATATTTGTGAAATTTCAGGCGAAGTCACAAAGTCTCCCTCTCGCCCAAAGACATCTCTATTCATGTAATAGCCTGATTGAGGGTTTGTCAGCACTTCGCGCATGTATTCGGCCACGGTTATAGGTCCGGTTGCCAAAATTTTCGCCTGGAGATGTTTTGTGAGATCGACAGCATTATGGTTATCAGTAGGACGTTGTATTTCTGTAGCTGGACGTTTCGCTGTACTCTCACCGGCAGCGGGATCCCTTAGTACGTTGGGCCGTCTTACGGGTTTGTAACAGAATTGCCGGCTAGTTAAAAGCGCAAAACGTTTTAAACACTGTCTATGCATAGCTTCCTTTCAATTACACAAGAAGAGCCCCTTCCCGCTTCTATCTGTCATACGAAAAACCATGTTCCCTAAATCAGCTGATTTCTGTTGTCTTTGAAATGTCAAAATCTTCTCTGGCTGTCAACTACAGTACTAAGGGTGTTTTCCGATCTACTTGATTACTCTTTAGCCATCTGCCTTGTACTTGCTGACATCCAGCAAATTCTTTGCAGGCCATCCGAAAAGGAAACAATTACGCCATGGACATGGACCACGCGCATACACTAAGTTTACCAAATGGTGATGTGGTAAAAAAGCCATTTCTTATTGGCGTTGCAGGTGGTACGGCCAGTGGAAAGTCTACGGTATGCAAAAAGATTATGACAGAGCTGGGCCAAACAGATATGGATCACACCCAGCGACAGGTCAGTTCGTTTGTGCGCGTTAACCATCTTATATTTCCCACATCCTGATGAACAAATCACTAATACAATATCTGCAGGTTGTAACAATTAGCCAAGACAGCTTCTATCGTGAACTAACCGCTGCAGAGAAGGCAAAGGCATTTCAAGGTCTTTACAACTTTGACCATCCCGACGCTTTCGATGAACAGCTAATGTATGACACCTTGGAGGCAATATTGAAGGGAGTTAAAGTGGAAATACCAGGTTATGATTACAAAACAAATTCATTGTATGTTCTCCACTGGACTGGCACTGGAGGGTGGGAAGAAATAATTCTGTGTATCTATCTTTCAGAGATTACGAAAACAAATTAACAATTTACCCTGCCGATGTGGTTCTATTCGAGGGTATTTTGGTATTCTACTTCCCCAAGATAAGAGATTTGTTTCACATGAAACTGTTTGTGGATACAGATTCAGACACCCGCTTAGCTAGAAGAGGTATGTATACAACATTACAAATGCTGGTCAAATGATAACATAATCTAGCGTTTTGTGCTTTTATTGTTTACATGAGTCGATGCCAATTATTGCTATGAAAATGCTTTTTGTTCGGGGGAGGGATGCAGGGATAGAGCTAAATTTGAGTTCTTATGAAACTTAAGTCGTGCTTTAGCTTCAGAACAATTATCTTAAAATTAAACTATCGTAATTAATATACATTCCATTTCAGTACCGCGGGACATAAATGAAAGAGGAAGGGACCTGGACGCTGTGTTGACACAGTACATGACATTTGTGAAGCCAGCTTTCGAAGAGTTCTGCTCACCCGTAAGTCCTAAATATTACCATGCATAATACAATCTCTAAGTCCTGATTTTAAATTACAGACGAAAAAGTTTGCCGACGTTATTATACCTCGAGGAGCTGACAATACAGGTGGGTTTTTCGAAAAAAAAAAAAGAAAATGAAATGAAATCACTAGATTCTAAATGTAGCTGCTTGATTTGTTTGTTTTCATCTAACAATCTAACACGTTCTGTTCCTTGTAACTGACTTGAGTTAACTATTTTTATTGATTTCGTTGGTTGTTCGACAGTAAACACAGTAGTACATTTAGGTCAACTATCTCGTTTTATTATGTAACTGACCATAAACCTAGAGTTTGATTTCTACAATATTTTCGTTGTTCTGTTGTTTTTTTATTATATATTTCTTGCAGTTGCAATTGATCTAATTGTACACCATATCGGAGAAATACTTAGACCAGGTAGCAGTGCTATTAATTCGGGTGCCAATGCGTCCAGCAATACGGCTAATGCGCATAATACTACAAATGTTAATTCAACAACTACTTCATCTAGCAATCATACCCCGTCAGCTATGATCCGAGAACATTAAAATAAGCATACTTGCATCACAGTAACAGAAAATATGACGGACGTGCATCATCGATTTTTCCCGGACACACACACCCACACTGAAACACATACAATTTGTCATAAGTTTTGATGTTGCTGACGCTCATGATGCAGCCTACCTTCGTACTTCATCAAAATCAACCAAAAGTGCCGCAACTGATGTCGTCCTATACACCTTATTCCAATTCTCCTTAAAAAGAATACGCATTTAAACACTGTTAAAGGCGGCTTCCCCTTTTGCATTCCTCCATTTAATCATAATCGAGTCGGATTTCTTATTCCAATAGATTGCTTTTCCACTTACATTAATTATTGTTGCAGTAATTAACGTCCCCAGTTTTTTTTTTACATTCATTGACTTACCATTAGCCGATATAGATGTTAAGATTGTTGAGGATCCAAATAAATAGTACGATGGCCAGATAACATCGGTTGAAAGTGTACATACGTATATGCCACAGTAAATAATAATATATCTAAAGATTTGTTAATATTATCTGTGATTTGTGAGACATAACACATTTGCCAGGTGCCCGATAAGACGGAAGAAGGTAAGTTCTAAATCGGGAATTCACATCACGATTTGGGCGGAATGATATATCAATTTGTACAAGTAATTATTAATGCACTCAATAAATAATGAACCCATAGTATTTAGACCTGAAAAGTTTTTTTTTTCGAATTATTTCGTTTCGTTTATTGCAAGAGTAATGCTAATTGTTTCGGTAAGTGCTTTTTACGCTATACCTGTTTCCTTTTGAATGTTTTGTTTCGCATAACAACTGTTGGGCACTCCACCTAAACTGATTGTAAATTAACAAAAACGTTCTTGAATTGTACCTTTCTTTCTAGTTGCCATCGATTTAATCGTTCAGCACATAAGGGACCTTCTCAATAGCCAGTCGTCTTCACGCAAAGGCTCCTCATCCAACATTCAGATAAACATGAATGTCGATCTACAGAAAAATAATGAAACCGGAGGTAAGAAAAGCGGCCTGGTTGTAAAAATTCCACATACTCCAACGACAGCATCCAACAGTAGTTGCTCATCTGCATCCACCATTACACCAACTAATATTAAAATGGGGAGTTTTAGTCGGCCTCACTGATCGAGGATATGGCAATCGACAGCCTCTCCCATACCGGCAAAGAGGAATAAAATAACGCAATGGGCCTGATAGATTGATAGATAAATATACATCGCGCGCACTAACCCACAACAATTCCAACTAAACCTTATGTTTCTTTATGTTTACTGGTTCTGCCTTTTCACAAATATATTCGATATTCTTTCTTTTTAAGATTCATATCGAGCTATCAGAAGATTTTCCACTCTGTGCAAGGAACTGACCATCCAGAGTAATGTTTTCTTCGAAAAGAACTTTAATTTCACTAAGCACTAAGAAGATGTCGCAACACACGCTTGTGACGACGCCTATAAACGCAACGAATTACCTTTAGATTGACATTGTGATTGACCATACCTGTAGTGTACTGAACCAAAGTCATTGCATCGCATCCTTGTCCACTCATTAAAACGTTTAGTAACTTTTAACCACAAATACAATTGTTTTTAAGGATTGTTGTTGTATTTTAATAAATATACAAACATATACATATATAAATACATATTTTCAATAGCACTTGTACATTAAATTGATCTTTTTTATGTCACCGGGGGAGAAGCCTTTGCGCTGACCCATCTTCGAGGCGTCAGGTGAAGACCTGAGGGCCACCAGAGTGGGTTTGCCATTTTTCGAGAAACTGGTGGATCTGTAATGCATTACACTGGCGTAATCATAGTTGACTCCAAACGTTGTCGCCAATGCAAACGGAAGCTTTTGGAAATTTGCCATCATACCGGTCTTGACATTGTCCTCCAGTACGCGTACGAAGCTGTCACGTTCGTAGCGATTCTGTTCGTGATAGAAGCCCAAGACATGCATCAATTCATGAATAGTCGTACCATAGTTGGAAAAGCATTTTGGACTTTCTAGATTAACGACTTGTTCGCCACCCATACGGCCCACGCTTGACCAACAGCCCTCACCTTTGTTGCTAATAACGATGTAATCCCGTTCAATGGTGCGCTTTTTAAAGCGTATGCAAGTCTTCTTATGATACTCGTTAAAGGCGTGATTAATAATGTCCAGCTGCTGAGGCGAGTACGAGCCTTGAACAATGTAGGGCACTATACCATTGGGCCATCGCAGGGAAGGATTTATTATACCATTGCGTTGAAATGACAGTGTCCTATAAATATTGTTATCGTCCTTTATGTCACCCTCTATATAGGGACCAGTTTCTTCGGGATTTTCCAAAGCATTTTCAGTTGAGTTGAGGGTAAAATTTTCGTCGACAACGACAACATCGGCATTGGCGTCCACTTTGGAGTTGAGAATCAAGATTAGTACTAAATACACTTTTCGAAATACAAAGCCCCTCAACATTATACCTATGGAATGGTGTAGTTAATTGTGATGTCAGGTGGGTGTTTGCGGTAAGCATTTTATACAATATTCATATCAGAAGCTGGCGGAAGTTCTTTTGAAATGTTAATATGTTATCGGCAGTTTTATAAAAAGTGTGCGACAAAAAAAAAAAAACATTTTTGTTTAAATGAAATAAGTTATTTCCTTAAAACTGGAGTTACAATGCGTGCGTATGGAATTTAGAAATATATGTCGAAGTAATAGATTACAATGTATGAAGTCTCGATAAAAGTTTACTTCACACAATACGGATACTTTTTTTGCTTGCTACTGCTTTTTGAGAAAGCCGTTTACATTCATAGCTACATACATAGCACATACATGATTTGCATTTCCTGTTTCCATAGTGTCAAATTAGATATCTCGGGTTATCCTAAAATTTGTGACAATTATTGAAATGTCGTCAGTTAACACAAAAAATATGCAAAAGAGAACATTTCAAGAGAAAATTTTTACAGATCTGTTACTCAGAGTTTGCCGAATGAATTTCTTTTTGCAGTCACTTGCAATTCTTCTTCTTTTCCTTTTTGTTTGTATCCGGTGATTTTTGTTTTGGAATTATCAAGGCAAATTGTTTTGTGGGAGCTCAATTGCAAAGTCGCTTCAGAAATCAGGTCATTACTTGCCGTGTTTTTCGCACGGATTGACTTTAAAATTTTAAAACTACCTTACCCTCTCAGAAATTTGTTGGACAATTGCTGCAAGAAAATTAAGCTGACAGATCTATTCATTGTTCATATCAGATCCAGAGGATACACTTCATTCCATTTCCTGTTTCCAAAATGTAAAAATCCAATCGATAGTCATTATATCGCAGACACGAACCAGTCGATATAAGTTATTTGAAATCACAAATAAATCAGACGAGCACCTGTATGGCACGGTAAACCACCTAAACCTTTACCAGTCTCTGGTCGTCTCTGTCTTGTGGTTACCTGTCTAAACATAACTATGGTTAAATGCACACGCTCGCACATTCAACTCGCTGAGCACGGTTGTGTGTGTGTGTTGGTGAGTAAGCAAGACCTGCAAGCACTAGCGCTAAGTGTTAGCGTACTTAACGCTGGCCAGCAAAATCAGTTTATTATCTGTTCTCGAGCGTAATCGTTGCTTAGTTTAGAGTTAAGTGTTGGCCGACCGGGACTTGTGCATCGTTCAAAAATACAAAAAGCCACAAGAGATGGCTGCATGTGATTTGTGCAAGAGCAAGTGAGACGGAAATTCAACCGTGAAATCGGAAATCCTCAAAATCGTGCTGTTGTTTTTTGTTTCTTGTAAATTCAATAAAAGCAAAATAAATTCCTGGAAAATCGAAATTCCACAAATACGCAAGTGATTTAAAAACTATTTAGTGTTTTCGTGTTTCATTTAAGCGACTGATTATGCAAATCAGCCTCTCTCGCCGTAAGAAAAAATTAAGAAAAATATTAATGTTCAGATGAATGAAAGTTAAGTAAAACAAAAAAAGTGGTAACAGCACAAAGCAAACAACAACAACGACGACGACCAAAAACCTCACATATTCACCAATACACTGGCGCGTAACCACTAACACCAGCAGCGACGTCTTTGCCCTACGAGTGTTGTAGATAACCAGTTCTAGATGAGAAAGTGTATTTTTTCTGCTAGCCACCGTTGTTAGCCCGTAAGTGCTGAGAATCTAGCCGATTCACATAGATACTCTTGGCACCCATACCGCTGAAGATCTAAGTGTGTGTGTGTGTTTGTGTGTGCCTGCATTGGTGCATAATTAGATGCAAACAAACTGTTGAAACTGTCAAATTGAAAACAACTGTTGTCATATCAGATACATTTCGCTTTCCCGATGAATGGGAGATCCAAACATTTGACATCGGTGAAAATAACCAAAACTTAAAAATGTCGTCATTATTAATAACACCGCCATCGTCCTCTCCATTGGCCAAATATCAACGCCAACACCAACAGCAGCACAGTCATACAACAAATCAATCACGTCGAAAGCGAAGAACAGCAATAACAAAACACACAACAGCAACAACATTAGCAGCAGGAACACAAGTACCAAGTACTTTCAATTCAACCATGTCCACAGCTTCGACGGTGACAAGAAGGAATGCGTCACCAACAATTATCTCCCTCAACGACATCGATCACAACAAAAACAATAACCACAGTACAAGATCGCTTCGGCCCACTGCGGCTATCACATTGCAGTGGTTTTGCTGTTTTCTAATTTTCCTGCTCTCTACAGGTAAGTGTTGGTTGGGATAACACATTCACAGATGTCTATGGCTAATCACAAATCTTTGGGAAAAATCATAACAATCGAGGGTGGTATAGCCAGCCAAGGCAATAGGACAACTTCTTCAATGTCGTAACTAACTCTGTAACTTCTGCTGAGATAATTAAGTAAAAGCGGACAAGAAAAAGTAGTTTCACCAAATTTAGGCGTTACATTTTTGAAGCCTTGAGAATTCTTAGACTTCAAAATTCAATGTTTATGTGTGGTATAGGCTTATAGTTATCTGACAGAGAGAAGCAAAATTACCAGCAAGAATTCCCAAAATCTCAGTAACTTAACTGTTGCCTTGCTCTACCAACTCGACTTTCCGGGGACTTGATATATATTTTCCAATATTAACCCTACTATTAAGTAAAAATTTCTGATCAATGGCAGTTCTTGAAAGTTTGGAAAATTCTTCCTAGTTATCTGTGTTCGATATATAGTTTTCAATTTGTACTAATTAAAATATTTAAAAATCGAGACATGGATTCCAACTAAAAATATCCCTTTATTTTGACAAGTCAATAAACTATGACTAATTACGCATTATGGTGATTAGCAGAATCTCCGTCCTAGCAACAACAGTGTTAGCTATCATTAATACCCAGGCACACATGTGCACGTAGAGCAGCTACCTGTTTCCAACAGGACACTCTATCGGGGATTTCCATAAATTTTACAACTACACATAGCTGACAAGGTGTTGAAAAGTTAATGTGGCGGCGGCTTACCTACGTGCTAATATTTCCCATTTTATGAGGATTGTTCATTAGGAATTCAAAGAATTTCAATACTTCATAGGAAATAGTTAAACGATTAACGATTTCGTGCTTTTTTGATGAATTTGCCAGAACGATATGGCGGTTCGATTTTGAATAATGTTTAAGGTATATCCAGAAAGCAATGTTTTATGACGGTGTAGGTTGTTAATTTCAATAATAAATTAATTGTAACATGAACTTTAGACGATTATAAACGACGTTAAGTTCATTTTGGCGATCTTAAGTTATAGCCAAATCGGCTTACTTTTAAACCTTAAACATTTGGAAGTTCCGTTATGTGGGGATTTGTTAGATAGAATCCAGAATGTCAATTCACATCTTATTTGGTTGGAAATTGCATTCAAAACTGTTGAAATATCGAAAATCCGGAGATACCGTTTATACGGGCTATACATAAATGTGGACCGATTTAGCCCTTCCTTTTGGTGTCTTAATTATTTGATGTTAAAATAATGGGTTTTTATTTTAAAAGGATAAAAAAATAAAAATCATCTGGCTCGCCACAACATCTGAGTTTTAATTGCCATGCGGACTGTTTCCTTTTATATTAAAATAATTTAAAAACAACCCTTCTATTCCATTTTTTTTTTTTGATTTTTCACTAACATTTTGACAAGGTCTGCATCGATCGGTCGGTCTTATGACGATTTCATAAGTGTCCGTTACTAAATCTCAGTCTGTGGAAATCTAAGTATTTAAAATAAAATATCGATTTCTCACGGACTCCGTTTTTACAAAACTCGGACAATGGTTTAAATGCTTAAAATTGCGCTTTCTCTCTGTCTCTTCCTCTCTCTACTCTGTGAAATCTAACTTCGTGTGGAATATAGAATCTGCATTAAAACAGTTCCCATTTTATTATAGCCTCCAGTAAGTTTAGAATAATATCCAGTCGAAATTCCCCTTCCATAAAAACCTACTTTAATATGCATGAGAATATTATAGAGATAGGTAGATAAAATGTTTTTGCTTTTAAAATTTTATCTTTAAAGCCAAGAGTTTTTTAAGCACCACGTTCATTTCGATATAACTACGAATGAGCGATGATGAGCACCGAAAGACCCATTGAATTTTAAAGCAACACACCCCTTGGAAAAAAAAAACAATCATAGGGGGTGGCGGAGGTGAGAAGAATAGCGATGACCATGGTTAGTTAAGGCGTCCAACTAACCAATTGTTATTTGTAGTAAAATTTGAACATATTTATATGACTGTGATTTACATGCCAGTCGAATAGCCGGCAACCGTACCTACCACCTTGTACATTCGCACCATGTGTGACATGCTTGGTGTGTTTGTAAAATGAAAACCTAATACTCAACCTTAGGCGTAGGTTTTATTGTGGCTGCATTGAAACATTTATATTTACCGTTGGTTTCGCTCGGCACTCATATCGATCGCAGCATTTTTATGGGACCTCGAATTATTGATTGTTTATAGCCAGTATTATTAATGAAATAATTACGTAGTACCCATATAGTGTGTGTGTGTGTGTGTGTGTGTGAGACCACGGGCAAATACCATTCCCCATTGAATGAGAGGGAGAGATAAACAATAGAGTAGAATATTATTTTGTTACGAGAATTTTGGCATCTAGCAGTGTGACTGTGTGTGTATGAGAGTACAACTATGCGTCATCAAAGCCAAACTTAATGTCTATGACAAGCTTTGTTATTTTTTTTTGTTATCGACTGTTTTGGAATGCACCGTCTGTGTTTTTTGTTTTGTTTTTGTTTTTTTTTTCTGCCGCCATGTTACCGCCCTTTTTTCCTAAGGTTAGGTTACTGAACTGATCTTTTACGTTTTAACATAATAAAGGGAACTTTAGTGTTTACCTTAACATTCATGACTGTTGTTGTTGTTGTTAGTGGTGGTGGTGCTTTTGATGTTATTCAGAATTTAGTTATCTACATTAAAGAAGAGGCCCTTTTGTTCACAAAATGTATTGAAGCGTGAGTGCCCGCCATAAAGCCAATGCGACTTGAACTAGCAAAAGTAACATAAAACAAAGTCCGACAGACATAGGTATTTACGGTAGAATGCGGAAACAGGTTTATAAGTTTCCCATTTGTTGTTTTGTTCTGGTGCACACCGATCATCACCACCACCATCACTTCTCTCCACTGAAATTCGGTCAGAACATCCAACGCAGATGTTCACGGCAATGTAGTAGTGTTTGATATACACGCACACACACACACAAAGAAACAACAAATAACTCAGTTTGTTAACACTATACGTGTATGTATGTTTGTAGGTACTTGCAGTCATTCTCACGTCTCACGGGAAAGATAATAACCGAAAAAATGAAATCTGAAAGATGTCAGAAGTACGGTTAAATCTCATCTCATGTTCCAATAAAGGCAGACAAATGGCTGAGCATGCTAACGTGTGGGTATGGGGGAGGGTTTGAAGCAGGTATGGACAAACAAAAAAAGCATCGGCATCTGATTATTATTGTATAACTCCAAACTTTTAAATTGTTCTCTTTGATTGATTCCCCCTTTAATTGATATAAAAATTTTCCCTTCTTATCAATGCCACGATTGAAAAATCTTATAAGAAGGAATACAAAGAAAATTGTTATAGTTTTCTAAATAAGAGATAAGCTAAGGTAGAGAAGAAGGGGACATATGAAATTTCAATTGAAATTTAGGGACGACACAAAGCAAAATTTTTATTGTCAATAGGTACCAATTTTATAAATGGATTTTCTCTTTCTTTTATCCCTGAGATTTGAATGATGGACATACACGTGTGAGATAAACAATAAATAAATAAAATTGACATGGCATGACATTTACTTTCATGTATAACCAACCATACATTATTATGTACAATAGGTAATAGATGTGATATCCCATATTATCTATAATGTAAATGTGGTCCCCAAGCATTTTTATCGGTAAGGGGACCAGTTGTCACAAAAATGATGACTCGGTCATCAGACTCTTTACAAATAACACATTTGAGTGAACATTTTTGGGGAAATATTCAAATACCTACATTGTAATCTATATTTTAGATAGATTTTATTCCATCTTTTACAATTTTAGTTATGAAGGCCAAGAAAACTAATTTTAACAATAAACTTAAAAGTTTTTATGGCTTGACTTTCTTTGAATTTCAAACAACAATAGGTGTGTCTGTTAACTTTTCTTTCAACTTCTTTCTGAGAGAGTAAGGTAGTTTTATTCTCTTTTGCAAGAAAACTGTGAAAAGTAAACAGACGGAATCCTTGTGTCATAAACAGGGATTATTCAGAAATTAAAAATGAGACGAAAAAATAACAGAACAATTAAGCTGTCGGTTTCCAAAATAAACATGTTTTTAAATTGCTTGTTCAAATATAAATGACCGTAAAGAGAAGAAAAGTTGCAAGTGATTGCAAGAAAAAAATTGTCCAGCAAGAATTTGCAAACTCTCAATGAAATAACTGTCAAAATTGTTCTCTCAAATCGCCCTCTTTTGCAGATCTATCGTGTTAACAGACGACTTTCAGTAGCAATTTACAACAATTGTTACCAATTTTAGAGTAACCAGAAACACCTAATTATGTTTTGCACAGAAAACTTGTTAGTCAGGTTGGCTTACTGACCCACCTTTATATGCCTTGGTAGTTATCATTAATTGACTATCCATTAATTTCCAAACAAGTCAACTGCAATTTTGACATTTAGAGTGGTAGTCATGTTCTGTCCTAGCAACAAAGCTTAATATGGTTCTCCTATAACAATAATGACCGCATATAACATCCCTCCCAAGTTATGGTATTTTGTAGGCTTCAGACCCATTTTCGAACCAAATCAGTAGAAATTTCTCTTGATTTTCCTATGTAGTCTCTCAGTTCTGAGGGAACATAATCTCTACATGAGGAACATATAATAGGGGTCTAATTTCTATTATTGCATTCATATTTCGATATTTCTATATCAAAGTTTTCTTTGTTGTGTTATTAGATGACAATTGACCTCAAGAAAAAATATTTGATATTGATCCATGTTTTTAACTTAGTTTCACAACGGCATCTGCCAAGTTTGCTGTAATATTATATTCTAAAACCTTAATGGACACAACATGTGCTGGTGTTTCCAAGATTTGAAATCAGTAGAAGACTATCTGCAGCGATATTCGTATTTTTGATAATAGGTATTTTAATTATACTTGAAAAGGATATAATACTTTGAGACTTATTCGATAGGTTTTTGTATGCTTTGAGTCTCTTTTAAAGTAAAAAGTTTTGAATGAAATCGTGGTTCTATGTATTTATTTTTCAATTTTATGGTTAGAGCATTTGGGACCTATTTTCCAAAAGTACGGATTCTATGGGCTCTCCATTTACATGTTTTACATTTGGCCTCATTCCAATTTTCCAAGTTTCCTTGCATTTAGATAATAACCGATTAAACAGCTGATGATGGGACATGAAAAATTGGCATGGAACTACTAACATATGCCAGAGATGGTGGGCATTTTGGAATTTCGTATTACACGTTTAGTAATCCTTTCAAAATATATTACATAGTACCGTACTGTACAAGTTCCAATTTTGATTTGAAATTGAACAATTGAAAATGAAATCGCCCGTTATTTATATTTACCTCGATGAAATGATGAACGTCGAGTTTTCAGGAGCATTGGCCTCGATTTATTTGAGTAGATTAAAATGAAAAGTCCCTCTTCAATGGAGTTTCTCTTATTCAATCGTTAAAATAAATTATCTGCATTTCATTTGAATGTCTTTGCCAGCAAAAATACATTTCAAAGATAGCAGCTCAAAATGGATAAATGTATCTGTGGGTGAATATCGTTATTTTAACAAAAAATAAAGAAAAAAAAAAGCTACAACAGTAAGCGATAAAAACAATAATAAACTGCTGAAGTTAAAACCATGCAACGCCAAAAATGCTCCTTTCGCTGCGGAGCTGTGATGTTGCATTCGATTCAGAGGCCACGTTGCTTGGCTTGCACGAATGTAATGTAATGTTGGCCATGTGTGAAGAAGTATTTGGATCAGTCAATCGACTGGAATTGTTTGGAGTTTTTCTTTTCCAAAAATATTTTCAAATGGCCGAATGCAATTACAAAAGGCACAATAGGTGTGTTCCCTTACTTACAAATGTATGGAATCTGTTCAGGATAAAGCAAACGATGCAAACATCTGCCAAATTCTTACCTACCACATACGCATTGTTCGCTTGCCCCAAATCAGCCCCATTTTATGTGTTAAGTGCTTTAGATTTTACACAAAATCTTTGTTTAATGGGCACTTTTAGCGAAGTAGAACAAACAAATATTAGCACTTGTGGAACGTGTAAATATGTACATGTGTTTGTACGTTTCTACATAGGAGAGGGGGGAAACACAAGGTGCATTTGTAATGCCCAAAAAACAAAAGGAAGAGAAAAAAACGAAAGCTTATGTCTCGTTACTGCTGGCATGGGCTATTAGATAAATCATTATTAGTTAAATAAAGAAACAAATGTCCGACACCAACAACGAAGTCAACATTAAACGGCAATTTAGCCAAAGGTGAAATGCTGAATACCCTACAGCAAGTGGTGGAAATACCTCTTAACGGAACATATGTGGGTGTAGCATCACTGCTTACTCAATTCCCACAATCACCCCACTACGGAATCACTTTTTGTGGACCTCAATGATCAAAATCAAAAATCTTATCTTCGACCATAGGCTTTCACACGGCAAACCCTGTTATAGCACCGTGCTATGCATTGTAGCGCCACAAGAAGTCCGAGTGTCATAAACAAAATAACAAATTACATGCAACCCCTTCGCATCTGCGGAAAGGCCAGAAAGTGCACCAAGGTAGTAGGAATTTAAAAAGAAAAGAAACAAAAAGTTCTACAGTGCCACTGATCGATGACCTCAAAAGCAACAACATTCATTCGGATGTCATGTTGTTTGTGGTACAGAAAGAATACATATGTATGTATGTATGTGTGTGTGTGTTGGCACATGTGTAATTATGCTGCCACATTACTTGGACATCGAGTCGGTCTAAAGTACTTAGGGAATCACTACATTAACGCTTCTAATGTTCGACGGTCTCTTCTATTGTTGGCCACAAATGCCAAAGATGTGAGTGAGCGTGTGTGTGTGTCTGTGCTTGGCAGTGCCATTTGCCATTCCGTTTAAATGAGGAAGTTCTTATGGGCTTCCACTTTTGACCTGGTAAAAGCATTTGTAACGCGTTTTTTGTTTTGCATTGCTTTGCTTTGCTTTGTGTCCAACAAACGACTGAACAGCAGCAATGGTCGCCCGAAGAAGCCTAAGGTCAGCGTGTTCTTTCCCAACCTTTAGTTCTAGTTTTGTGTTCGTGTTTGTGTGTGCTTTGATTCTCATTCATTCAGTTTTCCCCTCCATTTACAGAATCAACATTTGTTGCGGGCGCTTCCAGGGAAGCCTATTTCAATGGATCGGCTTATCTGCGTTTGTTGTCGCCCATGCCAATCTGGGATCATTCGGCAATCAGTTTTCGTTCGTGCAGAGGTGAGTTGAAGTCGTCGGTGAGGGGTTTACTAAATTAATACTGAATTGGTTTCGAATTTCAGGTGGCGAGATTCTGGCTCAGCAGTACAACAAAAACTCAATAGTCATCTCGGTGATAAATGACTTTTTGCAAATCTCGTTGGCGGGGCCGGCAGTGATAGGGCCCAACAATCGGGTGGACGTCAAGTATTCCTACCATCTGTTGGACAATAAGTGGCACACGATTCAGTTCAAGTATGAATACGGCAATCTGCTGTTGTTCATTGACCGCGAATCAAGGGTGTTCGGTGAGTGTGGAACGATACGATGTTCCCCAAATGGAGATATTTATTTTCTGTTTCTTTTGCAGCCAACTCCACATACAATAGTCAGTTTCTGACCAACCAGGACATCGGCAATGAGGCAGCCATTCTGATTTTGGGTAATTCCTTTACGGGCTGCTTACAGGATGGACCGGGACTGCAGTTCATCAATGATTCAATGACTGTGCAGAATGCCGTATTTGGAGCCTGCCCACTGGGCAGTGGACCTTGTTCGGATCATGATGTTCCTCTGAGAAATCAGGACTTTTGTGCCAACGATCCCTGCATGGGCTACGGTCTGTGCATATCGCATGCCGATGGCTATGAGTGCCGCTGCACTGCCAGATACTCGGGCAAAAACTGTCAAATGGACAATGGCTCACCGTGCGATCGAAATCCCTGCTCAAATGGCGGCACCTGCTTCGAAGACAGCCGAGGCGACTACCAATGCATTTGTCCTCCCAACCACACCGGCAAACATTGTGAGACTGAGATCAACATCAATCCCTTGTGCCAAATAAATCCTTGTTTGAACAATGGCGCCTGTGTCGTTGCTCCCGGAAGTAATGCCATCGAATGCGAATGTCCCAAGGGCTATGCGGGCAGTCACTGTGAGATCGACATGGACGACTGTGCGTCGCAGCCGTGCCAAAACAACGGCAAGTGCGTGGATAAGGTGAATGGATTCGTGTGTGACTGTTCAAATACCGGCTTCGTGGGACCGCTGTGCCAAACGAACATTGACGAATGCGAAATGAAACCCTGTCGGAATGGTGGCAAATGCTTTGACACGAACGGCTGGTATATCTGCCAGTGCCTGGATGGTTGGGGTGGTGACTTGTGCGAGAAACCCATCAGCTGTCAAACCCAGCAATGTCTCAATGGTGGAACATGTGTTGACAAAGCCATTGGATTCCAGTGTATGTGTTTACCCGGTTACTCGGGAGAGCTGTGCCAGCAAGGCCCTCCACCCTGTCCCCAATGTCCAATTGACTCTGAATGTGTAGCTGGGAAATGTATCTGCAAGCCAGGAACCACAGGTGAGTGTACCACAGCTATCGCACATGGCATCCGATCATTGATGTGGGTTGCGGGTCCTAGTCCATAGTTCACACACTACATACATACAAACATATACAGATATGCATATGTATTCAATTCAATAATTCGTTTCATATTCTCATTGTCTTTTCGCCGCAACAAAAAAAAAAAAAAAAACGTGTCAAACTACAAAAGCTTCCGATACAAATGCTGCACATGAAAGTCAAACGCCCTGCGAAGACAGTGGCAAGAGTAAACGCTACATCCCACCAGAGTGGCTGAAGAAGAAGAGATGTGAGCTCAAATTGAGTATGTCGAAAGTTATTGACAAATCTTATGTGTAGACAGCAAATTTTCAGAATAGCATTTCGCTTTTCGATAAGCTAGTTGAATGTTGCAGCTCCACATAGTTTATTTTTAGTATCCCCAACGACTATGAGAAGAATATGTATTGGCGATCAAAAACAATTAATTTGGAATATTTCACTTGTAGAAGGTCAGTCATTGCAAGTTTCTTTGTGAAGAAGATGAGAGAAGGGTCGCACTTTTTTACATCTTCCTTCTCTTATGATATTTAACTTGCAATGTCTGGCCTCTGAGTTACACAAAAATAGGAGTAAAACCATAGACAAATAAAGGTGTAGACTAAAAAGTTTTAAAATTTCCCCTTCCGCCAGTCAAGTCACTCAGGGCTAGTGAAGTCACTCGACTTCGAAAACAATTTATTCATTTTTCTGCTATTTAAGTTCTATATTTTTATATTTCAGGACATATTTGGATAATGTAAAATTAAACAAAGTCACTGTTTCGTTTTTAATCGATAAATAATAAAGAATCAACAAAATATTCAATATTTTGTATTTTGAGAGAATTGAGTGAGTCTACTGAACCTCTCTCACAGCATGAACGACATCTATTGAAGCACTTTTTTCAGAGAGCACAGATGAGACAACTTTTTAGTCTATACCTAATTTGTCTATGGTAAAACCAAACCAGAGAATGTAAGGGAGGTGGGGTGAATAATGAAGAAAATTATATTTATTATTCTTCCACCGCACTCTCACTCTCTTACTCTCCTCTACAAACTGCCATTAGTACCGTATTATGAACGTATGAGTAATATTATTTAGTATTCAATAGTAAGTATACGCTATGGCCCACTCGCTTATTATATCCAATGGCCTGGCCGCCTTGAATAAAAAAAAATTGCTGTTTTAAGATCAAAATTCGTCACACCAATACCTAGCACATTGTCTCATTGAATTCAGAATGCATACAAACGCGTGTCCGTGTTCACGTGACACCGTTCACCTTGTACCAAGCACACATCTGTAGCAATCATCTCCATGTTTATCTATGTTCATGCAAGTTGTTGTTGTCCTGCTTAGGCTTCCTCATACACACCCACTCCTTTTATGGCTTGAATTTGAAATCTAATTTGAAAAATTTTGACATTTTTGAATCACTCATGTCCTTGTAACCCTACCCCACTGTTGGTGCGGACGGTGATCGCAAATGACGACGATGTTGATGGCGCTGTTGGTGTTAATGCTATCCATTCGCTTTTACATAGGGCCCATTGGTCACTGCGTCCCCGTAGACACCAGTGCAGTTGTGGCTGCTCCGCCGCTGGCAGCGAGTAGTAGCACGTCCTCTTCTTCCCTAGCTAATAATCAACAGCTACCCAGATCGGCACAGTTGAATGCATGCTCCTCTGACAAGTGCCTGAATGGCGGTACTTGCCAAGGTTCCGCCACGAACTACACTTGTATCTGTGCCAGTGGATTCAAAGGTTTGAACCTACCAGTATATCAGTAGCACTTAGAATTTGTATTCACGGCACCAAGACAACACACTTTAGCTCTTGGAGGATACACTGGTCGAAGCTAGATGTTTCGCCATTTGACACAACCTCCGCTCTAGAGTTTTTGCTGCAAATCTCACTAAACTTTGTTGCTTTTCTTTTCCCTCAACAGGTTTCAATTGTGAATTACCTCCCGCGGCTGTAACCGTTGGATGCAAGTGCCTCAATGGGGGTACTTGTTCATTGAATGGCACCCACTGCTACTGTCCCACCGGCTACTCAGGAGACCGGTGTGAGAAAATGGAGACCTGCACATTGGCCAACTGCCAGGATCCCATGGTGTGCTCGCAGAACAAATGCATTTGTCCCGAGAACAAAATATGCACACAGTGTGCCTCCCAGCCCTGCCGCAATGGCGGCGTCTGCTCCGACCTGCCCAATGGCGACTATGAGTGCAAGTGTCCTGCTGGCTGGACCGGACGCAATTGCGTCAAGGATGTGGATGAGTGTTCCATATCCCCGAAGATATGCGGCAATGGCATTTGCAAAAACGAAGAGGGCTCCTACAAATGCTACTGTACACCCGGCTTTACGGGCATCCATTGCGACTCCGATGTGGACGAGTGCCTCAGCCACCCCTGTCAGAACGGGGCCACCTGTCACAACAAGGTAAGTTGTTTCGACATGGGTATGTTAGTTGGGGCGGGTTGCAACTAAACAGGAATGCATTACTAAACCATAATAGCTGTTCTTCTTTAAATACGGAAAGCATCGGATTTTGAGACAAGTAAGTTAAGTAGTGGGGGTCTCCCCCACAATACCTGCTTCCCCCGTAGAAGAATGCTATGCCCCGACCATTTGTCATGTAGTTAATGCCACGACCCAGTACGGGTTTGAGAGATTGTTGCGTGCCTTCAACTTCGGAGATTCACCATTTTAATTTTTCCTCTCCAGATCAATGCGTATGAATGTGTTTGTCCGCCCGGATACATGGGTCTCAATTGCGAGACCAACATAGACGAGTGTGCCAGCAACCCTTGCTCGATTGGCTCAACATGCCTCGACCTGATCAACAATTTCACCTGCTCCTGCATTCCGGGCATGACGGGGCGTTTCTGTGAGATCGACATTGACGATTGTGTGTCGGGACCGTGTCAACACAACGGCGTGTGCATCGATGAGCTGGGCGGATTCCACTGCAACTGCAGTTCGACGGGCTACGAGGGACGCTTCTGCGAAATGAACATTGACGAGTGTGCCACCAACCAGTGCGTGAACGGTGCCGAGTGCATCGATGAGGTGAATAACTATTCCTGCAAGTGCCACGACGGTTTTCGCGGCAAGAACTGTGAGTTCGACATTAACGAATGCGAAAGCAATCCCTGCCAGTACAGTGGCACGTGTCTGGAACGGTCCAATCTGACGTTGTATGCTCTGAGCCAGACCATGGATCTGCCGAGCATTTTCAGCCAGCAATTCAGTTTCCAAAACGCCAGTGGGTGAGTAAATTAGCAAATTCCAGTTCGCCAAGAGAATTGACCTAATCGCATTTGCCTCTTCCCTTTTCAGCTACGAGTGCGTCTGTGTGCCTGGCATCATGGGCAAGAACTGTGAGATAAACATCAACGAATGCGAAAGCAATCCTTGCAGTAAACACGGCACCTGCAACGATGGCGTAAGTTTGACGAGTGACCAACCTAAAGGCGGCAAAGAAAACCTAACGTTTCTTTTCTATTGTTTTCTAGATTGGCACCTACACCTGTGAATGCGATCCTGGCTTTGAGGGCACCTACTGTGAGGTCAATATCGACGAGTGCGAGCGTTACAACCCATGCGGGGATCATGGCACATGCATCGACCAAACGAATGACTACGAATGCGACTGTGACGCCATGTATGGCGGCAAAAATTGTTCGGTACCCCTGATTGGCTGCTTGAGTGCTCCCTGCCTTAATGGGGGCATCTGTAAGCCGTATCTGGTCAACGAAACGGATCATCTGTTCAACTGCTCGTGCCAGCACGGCTTTCAGGGCGACACCTGTGAGAAGACGACAACCATTTCCATGGTGGTCAGCAGCTTGATCGCAGTTAAAACGCAACGCGAAGAGGGCTATGATATAAATCTGCAGTTCCGTACCACATTGCCCAATGGGGTACTGGCCTTCGGTACTTCGGGAGGACAAAATGAACCCGTCAGCTATATTTTGGAGTTGATAAATGGACGTTTGAATCTGCACTCGTCATTGCTGAACAAGTGGGAAGGCGTATTCATTGGCTCCAACTTGAATGACAGTAACTGGCACAAGGTGTTCGTGTCCATCAACACCTCCCACTTGGTTCTGTCGGCCAATGACGAACAGGCGATATTTCCCGTGGGCTCTTATGAAACTTCCAATGGCAGCCAGCAGCCCTCGTTCCCCCTGACATACCTGGGCGGCACCATTCCGAATTTGAAGTCGTATTTGAGGCACTTGACACACCGTCCCTCGAGCTTTGTGGGCTGTATGCAGGACATTGTTGTCAACGGCAAATGGATTTTCCCCGATGAAAAGGTCCTGGACAATAACACCAAACTGACAAAGATTGAGAGCGGCTGTCGTCGAACGGAGCAGTGCAATCCGAATCCTTGTCATTCCAACGGACGGTGTACGGATCTGTGGCACACCTTCTCCTGCACATGTCAACGGCCGCACTTTGGCTACACCTGTAAATACAGTAAGTAAATGGTAAATGGACTAATGGTTGCACCTCTCCCCTAACCAAACACCTTTTCGTTTAGATATAACGGCCGCCACGTTTGGGCATGAGAACACCACCCACTCGGCTGTAATTGTGGATACCAATGACGTGGCACGTCGAGCTATACGCTCGGTTCTGGATATTTCCATGTTTATACGCACGCGACAACCAACTGGTCAGGTGTTCTATTTGGGCAGTGATCCTCGCAAAACCAGGGGAGTGGGTAAGTCCTGAAGTAAACAAAGAAGTATGAAGTTCATTACTCAATACATCTCCTTGCAGATACCGGCAACTCATACGTAGCAGCTAAACTGCAAGGTGGCGAACTGTTGGTGCGCATGCAGTTCAATGGCACCCCTGAAGCATACACCGTTGGAGGAAACAAACTGGACAATGGCTACAATCACCTCATAGAGGTGGTGCGGAATCAAACGTTGGTCCAGGTCAAACTCAATGGCACCGAGTACTTCCGCAAGACACTGTCATCGACGGGCTTGCTGGACGCACAGGTGCTTTATTTGGGTGGTCCGCCGCCCACCACTGGCGCCCAAGAAACAGCCGTGGTGCCCGGTGTTGAGGTGGGAACGGAATACGCAACCGTCAAGCCCGAGGATTACTTCAAGGGCATCATCCAGGATGTTAAAGTAAGCAACGGCTCGTACACCATGATTGTCGAACTCTATCCGCTGCAGGAGGAGGATTTGGCTTTGCCACCTTCGTTCGGCACCATTACAATCGACCGCTCCTCCGTGTTGAAGGGAGAGGTGTCCGATGACTTATGTCGCAAGAATCCATGTAGACACAATGCCGAATGCCGCAACACCTGGAACGATTACATCTGCAAGTGCCCAAATGGATACAAGGGCAAGGATTGTCAAGAGATTGAATTCTGTCAACTGGTGACGTGCCCCGGCAGCAGTGTTTGTCAAAATCTGGACTTTGGTTACGAATGTTTGACCAACATAACATTCCGTGGAAATGAGAAGGCACCCCTTTCCTTTGCATTCTACAAAGAACCACAACTGTTGGACGATTCCAAGCCAAAGTTGAAGCCCATCATTGAAATAGCCTACCGGACTCGGACAGGAGGTACTTTGCTCTATCTGGAGAACCAAGACAGTTTCTTTGAAATAGGTGTCAACCAGGGTCAAGTTACGGTCACATGGAAGTTCAATCAAGATCCATTGGGAGATACGAAGAGATTTAGCAAAGACAACTCGGATGGAATCGAATGGAGTCGTATATTTTTGCGAGCCCAAAATGGCAAATTGGAGGGCGGCTGGAAAGGTTGGGAGAGTATGGTAGACCCGTCGCCCTCTTTCTCGGCCGACATTGACATAAATGCATTTGAAGAGTTGATTTCGAGTGGCGCCCAAGTCTACTTGGGCGGCATGCCAACCGAAAGCCACCAGTCGCGCGGAACCCTATCATCGCAGCAGGGCTCTCAGTTTAAGGGTTGCCTCGGCGAGGCCAGAGTGGGAGATCTTCTGCTGCCTTATTTTACCAACGAAGAAATGTATCCCCGCACTGAAAATGTTTCGGTGCAGCCGCATGTGCAATTCCGTTTGAATTCCACCCGGCCAGATGAGGGCTGTATTTTGTGTTTCAAGAGCGACTGCAAAAACGATGGCTACTGCAGTGCACCAACGGAAAACTATGCTTGTACCTGTCAGGCAGGCTACAACGGTGACGACTGTTCCAATAATATTGACGAGTGCGCCACAGCAATGTGTCAGAATAATTCCACCTGCATCGACATGGTAGCCCACTTCGTGTGTAAGTGCTTGCCGGGATACGACGGTCTGTTCTGCGAGAACAACATCGACGAGTGTGCATCGCAGCCATGTCACAATGGCGGCAACTGTACGGACTTGATAGCGGACTTCCAATGCGACTGTACGGATGACTATGCGGGTGCGCAGTGCGATGTGCTGAAGCAGGTGACGTGTGAGAATTTCCCCTGCAAGAATGGGTCCACGTGCCAAGATCGCTACAGTAAGTATCAAAGGGCAATGTTGATTTTGATTTGATTTCGAAATGGAATAGCCATCTGACAATTCTTCACAATTCTCCGCAATTCTTCTAGATGCGCAGACTGGAAATAATTTCACGTGCACGTGTCTACAAGGATACGAGGGACCGCTGTGTGATACGCCCTTCTGTGAGGTGAAGCCATGCGAACATGGGGGCCTCTGCATTATAGCAGACACTAAGGTAGGCGGGATAAACCATAATGGATTCCGAAACAAACAGTATTAAGACTCTACATTTATCCCACAGATTCCAATGTGCCAATGCAGTTTAGGATACACTGGTACCTTCTGTGAGACCGACATTAATGAGTGCGACTCAAATCCGTGTCTGAATGATGGCGTTTGTACGGATCTGGTTGGTGGTTACTCGTGTAACTGTACCGACACCGGCTTCGAGGGTGACAACTGTGAGATCGACATCGACGAGTGTGCCATGAGTGTGGAGTACTGCGGTGGACTGGGACGGTGCATCAACCAGCCGGGTACCTTTAAATGCATATGTCAGGACTCGTTCTGTGGAGCATATTGCAATTTCACCGATCCATGTAAGCAGAGTGATGTGCCTCTCTGCATGAACGGTGGTATTTGCGAAGAAGCTTGTGGCGATGAGGCCGACTACAATTGCAATTGCACTGATGGCTACACCGGCAAGAATTGCACAATATTGGTAAGTTATATCGTAGCCCGCTTTAGCCCCATGACTTATTCCCTATTCTGACGATCTGTTCCGTTTCTATTTAGATCACGGCCAAAGAGGAGCCAAGTACGGCAGATATCGCGATTATTGTAATACCTGTGGTTGTGGTGTTGCTGCTGGTATGCGCCGGACTGCTGGTCACTTTCCTGGTCATGGCCCGCAACAAGCGAGCCACCCGTGGCACCTACAGTCCCAGTGCCCAGGAGTACTGTAACCCACGTTTGGAAATGGACAACGTATTGAAACCACCACCTGAAGAAAGGCTCATTTAGTCATACCAACGCGTTATTTATTTCAATTCATTCCTAGTTACGATAGTTAAGATTTTGAACGCCGAATATTAAGAATATCTTCAAACATTCCGCCCATTTTACGTTTTTTTTAGAAAATATAAACTATTTTATTAATTACGTCTAACGATATACACTTAGATTAATAACAAACTATTTTTAACAAATTTACCCCGTAACGTCGCTGCGCCTTGGTGTGCGTGTGTATGTATGTGCTCGAAGACTAAATCGCTTTCTTTGACCATGAAAAGAAAACGTCTTTAATTGGAAATTGATAATAGGTGCCAACAATTGTTGTTGTTGTTGTTGTTTAATTTTTCTCCCTCCGGCTTCCACCTCTTGGAATATGCACATGCACACATTCAATGATATTTCCTATATCTTCCCTTCAAGATATTTGCAAATAATATATAAATAGATAAAAGTGCCTCCCTCATCGAAAGCAATACATACTCGTACGTGAAACTGCATCTTACAAGAAAAACAAAAGAACGTTTGACAACATATTATATTTAAATTGAATAATACTAAAGCATTGTTTTATTGTCTAATTAGTTATTTCGAAAATCTTGCTTTAATTGAAACATTTGTTAGAATTTTGCAAAGCAATAGGACGAAATTAGGTGTGTAAGAAAGAACACAGACATATGTAAATATTTTTTATGAATACCCCATAAACTCTAAATGGATCAAATCTATAAAAAGGCCTCCCTGAACTTCATGCCTCCCCACCCAACCCATACTCTTGTATCGAATTGTTTATAATAACAAAAAATGTTTTTATACCATTTTGAATAGAACAACTCTGTTTTTTTTTTTTTTTAATTTTTAAATGAATTCAACGCATGTATATGTATTATTATTACTATTTACTATTACCATTACATTTATATGTAAGAAGACTGTATAATATATTTTGAGAATAAATTATATCATAAATGTTAATTTATAAATTAATGAAGTGAATTGCGAAAACTTATTAAAGGGCTGTAATGAAAGGATAATGGCTTAACAACGAGCGGTTAAGTCTTTTTTAGTATGCCTTTTTTAATAAATCTCGAATAAGTGAAATCTCCTGCTGTACCTCATAATCGGGGTAGAGAGACCACATTACTACTGTGGCCAGCTGGCTTGCTGGCTGCTTTGATACCATTTTCCCACTTAGTTGGATGCCACCCATTTGAATTTGCTACTGCTGAGTACTTCGTGGTGATAGAACAGACACTCCAATTTGTTGATACAGTTCTTGCCATAGCGACAGGGCTTTGGATGATAGAAGGGACAAGCTGATTTTGTGCAATTTGGGAAAAATTTACAAGTAGTCGAGGACACTGGACCAGTGACGGCAGCAGACGAAATCGATTTGTAATTTTGCACCGGTACGACTGAAGATGCTGCAGAAGAGAGTAAGGACATTGTAAACTAGATCGACCTTAAGGTATTTTTGCGAAGTAGGACTTACATAGAGGTGGAGCTGTAGGTTCTAGCAGACTTGAACTTCGCGGTCCACTGTGTGAAAAATTACAATCCAAATTAACACAGGCCAGATCGTATTTGCATTTCGGATGTGAGTACATGCATTTATCGGCGTATTTACAGTTCGGGAACGATTTGCAGGGCGCCGTCGGATGATAGAACTCGCAAAAAGACTTGGTGCAATTGGGATGATATTTGCACCTTTCTTTGGGCTTGGCATTGCGGTAGGCCGTCGAATCAACAGGCACAGAGTTTACTGAAATTGCGACAGAGAAGAAAACAAGTAAGACAATCAATTTTCTTAAGTAAATGTAGCTTACTTACATGAACTTGGTATATTTTCATATTTCTTTGCTTCTGCATTTCGTATGGATATTTTCCTTTTCTCTTCGCGTCTTTCGTGGGAAGCAGCTCGTTCGCGATCTCTACTTCTATCTCTGCTGTGGTCTCGGTCTCGAGATGGAGATCGCCTTTTCTTCGACGGAATTGGACTATTTTCCCTCTTGATCTCTTTCTCCTTTTTGTCTTTATTGTCGGCATCCAAATCAAATTTAATTGGAACATGTTTACGCTTCGATGGCGTTAGAGATTCTTTTTGTCGATTTGGTTTAGGTGGCGGCGTATTCGACTTGTTTTCATAGTCTTTAGCTGGCCGTTTTTTGCTACTTTCCTGTTCGGGTGTACGTTTCTTTGTTGGACTCATTTCTTCGTCTTCAGAGTCATTTTTTATTATGATTTTCTTAACCTCTTTTGGTTTTCGATAGACTTCAATCAATTCGGAACGCCTAGGAGGTGTTGTGCTGCCCTCTGCGATGAAAGGGGAAGACTCGTTGTCGTGCGACGAGGATTTGCTGGAAATTCTGCCCTTTATGCTTGCCTTGCGCGTCGAATAGGAGTTAGAAGTTGAAGTTGGCTCTGGGTATTTTTCACGATCTTTGGCATGGTTTGATGATGACGTAACTTGTGGCGGTGGTGATGTTGAGTATCGCGAACCGCCACGGCATTTCAATTTGGGGAAAGTATTCTCTTCTGTAAATATGAAATGTGAGGTGAGGAAATAAGTATACATTTATTGTGCTTACCATTCAGCGTAACTACGAACTGAGTGTTTTGGTCAGGAGTTCGGTGTTCTCCCTCAACTAAGTCTATGTGTTCATAACAGCTATCTGAATCGGCAGTGCTCCAATTCTCTTCGTCATCGAGAGGCTTGCGCGGTTTTATAGACTGTGGTACATACACCATATCCGGATCGGATTCGCCCTTATCGGATACAATCTCCGGTATATATTCCTCATCAGCATTTGCAACCAAACTAGAGGCGTAACGTTCTTTAGATCTTCCATTAACTTCTACAATTAGATTCTGGGCCGTACGGGAGAAAATTGCCCCAACGCTTGCCGTAGACTTTCGACGATCTCTAAAAGACTTTGAATAGAGTTTGGTGTTGCGCTCTGGCACAACTTTGTCACCCAAACGTGCGATTATTTTTGGTTTGGAAGTGTTTAGTCTTTTGAGAATAGTGGATTTCTGGGCTTCGGCCACAGCACGCAGCAGCAAATTTTTCGGAGCCTGTTTGCTGGGCGACACCGTTGCTCGGGGTTTTATTTTTATCACCGAATTAACGGGTTTATCAGTTAGATCTTCCTCGTCGGATGGCTCCATAACCTTCGAAGGAGCTACTATTACCCGCGATCCGATGCGATTTCGCGATGAATTAACATCCGGCGAGTTCTGATCGGAACTGCTGCTGAGCGTTGTTGTGCTTATTTTTCCCACTTGACTAGAACTTCGAATTTCGGGCTTTTCGGGTGTACCCCGTCTTCTATCTCTGTCTTCGACAGATCTACGCACTCGTGAGCGCCCTCGTGACTGGTTACCATCGCTTTCTCTTGACCTTTCCATTCGCCTGTCTGAAACACGTTCCCTTTCTCGTCCCCTATACGGCCTTTCTCGGCTTTGATCCCTATTCACGTCACGTGCTCTTTCTCTTTCCATTTCCTTGCGGCGAAAAGCCGGCACGTAGATTTCTTTCTCTTGCAAATTCCTTCTTCTATCACGGGATGTGTCTTTAGATGATGTGCCGGGACTTCTTAGACCTAGACGTTCGTGCACAGGACGCTTTGGTTTCTCTGACACCGCATCCTTGGGCGGGCTAATACCTCGAGAGCTAGCTGTCAAAGTTGTGAATGGAGGTGTAAAACGGCTACGTTTGTCTTCGTCACGTTCCGAGATTTTTTCTTTCGGTTTGTCGTCTTTTTCAAATACAATAGGGCTTTTAACTTTTGAGCGCTGTGAGTTTGCGGGTGGCGTTCTTTGACTATCGGCTGGCTCACTAAACGTTTCCCGACTCTCATCATCGCGAAGAGTAATAAAGTCTTCATCATACTCATCATCATCCAATTCTCCGATCTGCTTTAGTTGTTTCTTAGCCGCGTAGATCTTTTTCTGAATTTCAGCCAATTCTGCCAAGTCTTTTTCTCGATTTCCTGAGATAATTTTCGGCTCCTTTTCCCTTTCATTTGTCTTGGTATTTGTTGCCCCTGTTGTCGACGATATTTCTGAGATTGTAGGTATGTCAAAGTCCTGCGTTTCGTTTGGCATTTCAGAAGAGATATCCTCTTCCTCCAAAGCGGATTTGTTTTTGTGTTTTTTAATATTCTGTGCAATATCAGTTGTAGCACTTATTTCATGCTTGGCCTTTTCCAGCAACTCTTCGGCGAATATGTCCCGAATGGAACCACTCGTCTTGCCACTAATATTTTTGTCGGGACTTTCCACCGATTCCTTGGGTCTTTTGACCGGATTTTTCTCTTTTTTTATTTGCTTCTTTTCCTTTTTAGATGACGACGACGACGATGTTGCTGCTGTAGGGTCTTCTTTGTGAGACGATTTGCGTTTCTTTGATAGAGAGGCTAAGAAAAGTAATTTTTAATTAATTGTTTTGCAATAGAATGGTGTCTGCATTTAAGCTCACCACTTATGGCCGGCAGTGTTACTTCTTGCAGCTTTTGCAGAACTTCATGGAGCCAGGTGACAAACAACTCTGTTTGGCTGCCTAAAAATAAGTTCAGGTCCGATATCATCTGTTGTTTGCTCCTTTTGTTTGCCACCATAATCATAACATAATCCGGTAATTCATCGTCAATGTAACCAGCAGATCCTCCGGTGCCCAATTCTTGAAGTTTTGCCTTGACGGCACTCTTGAAAGTGGAAGAAGCATTATGCAAAGTTAATGAAATCCGTAAAACACCCTTGCATTCTAGTATTGATTTTTTCTTTTCCGAATGTCCAAATTGATTTTTTCATTCGGTCTACTCACTCTCATTTTCTGTCCTATTTCATTGCCGTAGTTCTCCATGATGGGACTTTGCTTTGCAAGAAGATAAAAACTTTTACAAAAAGTTTTCAGTCACACAGTTATGTTATTATTATATTATTATTCTTATCCGAAAAAAACAAATTTCCAATTTTCCATTTAGTAAGTAAAGTAAACTTTATTAGAGTCTTCTTCTTCTTTTTGGTAAATGGTCTTTTGGTAAATTCCTGCTCAGCCGATTACCACACGATCTGTCATTTAAATTTGAATTCGCTGCAACCAAAACAAACTTGAAAACTATGGTAGAAGAATACAGGTAGTCGCATCGCAAAGCTGATGGGACAATGACTGTCAAACCAATTTTTAAAATGAAAATTTCCAACGAAAAATTATTTAAAATTCTATAAAAATTTTTAAAAATGTATATCATAACCATGGTACAATAAGGAGGTAAAACAATAAGGAGTAAAACTACAGAAATACATTCCTGTGGCTATTTTCAGTTAAAAACCATGGTAGAAAAATAATAATTGTACCATGGTTAAACACCTAGAAAAATGAATGAAAAACCTGGATTTTCTTTCAAAAATATGATGTAGACGGTTCTATATTTTAATTCCACGGCAAAACTGTTGAATAGCTTTAATGCGCGTCTCGCAATTTACGCATCTTCTAATCATTAATTTTGAAAATATTCGGTTTTTATTTTACAAAACCAAGATCATAATAACCTCCGGTTGGTGTCTCATAAGAAAACTTATAAAAATTAACTTATTTAAAAAAATAACATTTTAAAAATTTATACATATCAATGTTCCCGAGGGTTGTTGCATCTACCTAAATTCTTCTACAATGAAGCATAGATGTTATACATACAACAAATTGACAACAAACATATTCGCCGCAACATTCTTCTGTCAAGGCGAAAATATTTATTTTTGTCAAGGCGAAATTTTGACATTTCATCTAATAAAATAACAGCTGTTTTTTATATTAATTCGCTCGAAGGAAGAGCTTATAACTGGGTCATGTACAAATCGAATGGTTAACATGTTTAACTTAGAACTATAGTCGTCCTGTTCTAACATACAGTGAAGGCAAAAAGATACCCAACATACCAGAAATACAATACAGCTTGGGAATAATATAAAAATAAAAATTTTCAACAATGCTTGAGAGACACTTATGTTCCACAAACTTTTCTCAAATCTGTAATTTGTTGACAAATTAGTTTTTTTAATTTTTGTGAAAAATTTCTTTTGCTAAAACGCAAAATAACGCGAACTTCGGACCCATTTCCGGACCGAATTCTTAAGGTAATGGTGAATAATAAATCCGATCCGGTATATTTCAATCTCATTTCAGATAGGAGGGAATTCAATAGAAGTTGTAGTCTTAGTGGAAAAGATGAGTACTGTCGTTTTGTTGTAAAACAGAGCGAATGCGCTCATGGGAAACAAAAATGAAAGACGTCCCCAACGAAACAAATAAGAAATCAAAAAGGAATGCCCATATAAAAAAATAAAGAGAGAGCAAAATCCCCGAGGGATCTCTGTTTACGAATGAGTGTAATGCATAACCCGAAACATGAGGAAAACTGAACACATTCACTAAAAGAGCGCGGAGCTAGCTACAAATTAAATTGAACCATTTCGATTAATGGAATAACTTTTAGTACTCAAAAGTTGTGTTCCAGTACTTTTTTAGTAGTAAAACTAGCAGAAGAGAGAACAGTTCGAAATGTCATTCTCATTTAGGTTTGCTCAAAAAATAAGGGAACGGAAAATTAGCAGAAATGCGATAAAATGTCAAAATTCCAAAAGTTAACAGCCTAAATCGGACTGGTAAAACCTTACTGAAAATATCATTTTCTTTATTGAAATGTATCAATACATTTTTCAACCTTGTTAGCCCTGCCAATTAAATGTTAAATTTACAATATGCACATTTCTGCTCGGCCAAATTCATGTAGCTAAAACAAGCAGAAATGTGCACCACTCAGCGCCATTTTTTTCTCGAGAGAGCTGCAAGTTTTGCTAGTTTTTGGAGTACGGGAACGCGTTGTAGCAGAATTAGTGCTAATTAGTACTAATTTGCAGGTTCTGGAACACAACTAAAGTTTTGAAACTCAAACTCGACAATGGACTTGGGTGAAAACCGAGTACTCGACTATTCATGGACGATTTCAACTTATGGTCTGTTCCAGAACTGCAAGAATGTCAAGTTTTTACTACGATAACCGATTTTCCCTTTATGATATCGAAAAAATTTCAAAAATAGTAGGTTCTTGCAGGCTCTGGAGCAGAGCCAATAATAGAAGAAATTATTGTTTTTACTTCAAATATTTATTTTATCTTTCATTTAACAATTTTCATTCATGTTTTGAAGTGTTTGTATAAATGTGTTGCATGTGGTTTTTTATTTAAAAAAAGAATAAATAATTAACAGCAAGTCCCCGACATGAGATGTTTGCTTGCTGCCGGTCAGGGAAAAATGAACCGGATATGTTAAGCTCGTCGCAGAGGTTGAAGAAATCAGTGTTGCCAACCGGTGGAAAACATATAAGCCAGAGAAATACAACTCTGATGTAGGGCTCAGTAGGCACGACAAAGGTAATGTGATGAATCAGGAAAATTGCGCGAGAATCCCGGAAAATTGTAAATGGCTGCGGCCATATAAAAGGCATAACGGGGGAAAATCGGGGCAGTTTGTTTGGTGTTCAGCAAAGGAGACATTTTTTTTATTTCACCATACCAGAAATTTGAAGAGAATCTCCCAAAAAAAAAAAAAAATTTAATTAAATTTTGTTTTTGTGTGTAATTAACACTTGTGTTTTATTGTTGTGTGTGAATGCGGTTGTGCGAACAAGTTAAAGTGAGTATTGTGTTGTATGGTATTACATTAATGGTGTTTAAATGTTTGTGTGTCCTTTTATATATTGTTTAGGCAACGCCAACATTTACACCAACCGTTAAAACCATCTCTGACCCCTCCGATTCTATGAACGGAGGAGGTCAGCCAATTTATGTTGAATTCCCTGGCGGAAATAATTGTGTCCATGACAGGGTTTAAGCCAAGCCAAGTAACCCGGCTAATGGAACGGCAGCAAATTTCGTCCTGTGTGTGTGACATGTCCGTCCAGCGCCAACCAGAAGTATTCCTTCTGCCAAAATCCGTGTTGTCCAAAAACCTGGAGTGATAAAAACTAAATAAGTATACGCTGACCAGGTAACAATATTTAAAAAAAAAAAAAGAGCTACTTACCGGCCTTGAGCAACATTTTGGTTACAATCTTTATGCCAAGAGACCGAGTGTTTACTAATATCTGAAAGGGAGAAATATAAATAAAAGATTAGAAAATCTGGAAATAACACCGAACTCTTAAACAATCTGCAATAATAGTTATACGTTAGTTTAAGTAAATGTTAGTATTTAGTGATTAGTATATAAGATTTTATTTGTGTTTGTAAAAGTTTTTAACGCCAGATGGAATGCGACAAGTGTAGGGTTGCCCCAGAAAAATCCTATTAGAAATTTGTTTATTGTGGGATCAAATGTTAATGTCCCTTTAGAACCACATAAGAGAGCTCTTTTAGGTGAGGAAATAATTTAGAAAAGCGGCCCAAGTTGACCGAAATTCTATAGGATAAGGCGGTAGTCCGAGATATTGACTTATCGATGTGTCAGGTGTTAGAAATTTAGAATTCTGACAAGAAAATAATGAAGGCAATAAATTGTTTTAATGTTTAAGTGTTTAGATTAAAATGAATTGCTAGTGTTTTGTTTTGTTAGGGAGGAAAATAGGATGATGTTGAAGTGAGGTAAGTGTGTGTGAAAAACGGGGCCCTTACAAAATTGAATTCAAATCTTTGAGAAGGATCTAAGGGTCAAGGTTGGGTGGGCGAAGTGTGGGAATTATTAACATCAATTTCCCGTGTTATGGTCGTATGTGTGTTGTCGTTTTATTTTGATTTGTTTCTTGTTATTTCATGTGTTCCTTTTTGATTGTTCGACCCCTGGGGCTGGTGGTGGCAGGGTTGGGAATTCACCCCCTAAAGCGGTGCCCCGACTGAGCTAGTTGGAACCCCACCATAGCGCCGTATCAGGTGGCACGTAACAATATGGCGCCCAAACCAAAAATTATTGTCCGATCGTCCAAAATTTTTAAGGCAACAAAACATCAGCCACTTCTTTGGTGCAAAAACAAAGACGCTAAAAACATTAACATGACGCGGACAAATAAGTAGATACGTTGTGCAATAACACCTACGCACAGAATAATAGACCATAGGGTGAAATATTTTTAAACATAATATTACATTTTCAAAGTGCTTACGGATATTGCATCCACATATTTTAAAAAAATCTGTGATAAAAGTGCAATATTTAGTTAAGTAATTAGAAAATTAGGATATTATGTTCCATAAGTTAGGGTCTAGTGCAATAGCTCTTGTTCGTTAATTGTAACAATGAATGTATTGTTTTCATGACCTGTTTTTTATGTTTCCTGTCCTTTTTGCATAGAGATACAATAGATTAAGGATGACATATGGGAAGGTGCAATATCTGCTTTGACCATGGGTGTCATTGACTGTATTGTGCAATTTCTCTTAACACGAGATCTTTTTTCGTCTTAATGGAAGAAAAATGCCGTGGTGTTATTTCCTTTAATGTTTTAACGTTTCTTCAATGTAATGTAAAGTCCTGTCTTCAATACGCCATAACAACCTTTTTTTTTAAGGACACTTACTTTTATTATAGCAAATACCACACACTTTATCTCGCATACAACTGAGATTACATCCTATTACCTCCCATATTTGTAATTGTGTTGTGAAAGTAAACTAATTTTGTTTTTATATTGTTGTTTTATATACATATTTTTATATTATATTTTATTAATTTATTATTTAATTTTTATGCTTGTTTTTTAAAACCGTTTATCGTCTGTATGTTTGTTTGTGTCGTATGAGAAAACAATTTTTTTATTGATAGTTTTCTTAAATATTTAAGCTTTCATTGTATTTGTTTATTATTTATTATTGTTTTAGTTCCTTTTTATTTATCGAGCCATATTTAGCAAATGAGTTTTCGTGTTTTATAGTTTTGTGTTACTTTTATTATCCTACATATTTAGATTCGTTGTACTATTTTTAGTTATTAACTATTTTCAGTATATATGTTTTGATTATTTTTATTTTTAAATTCTTGTGCTTCGCAATTTTTTTTTTAATGAGCGAAAAATTAGAAAATAGTAAAAAGAGGAGTAAAAGAAATAGATCACTCACATTCGATGTAAGCAGATCTTCTATTTCTTCGCCAATGCCGAAACTAAATAAAAAACAAACAATGCAAAACCCAAATGCCAATGTCGAACCCACGATTCGGGATCTGTCAGGTTCTATTACCAATTCTGATAACCGACAGCCTGTTTTACAGTCAAATCCATCCACTCATCCGGTCGAAGTAGACAATCTGGTTAGGAGTTTAGTTCAAGAAAGCCTGAACCATGCGACTTCTAATTTACACTCAATGGTACAAGATAGTGTTGCCAAAGAGATGGAGAAGATGTATGGGATCATAGACAAACTAAGTGAGGCAGTTTCAAGGATTTCCGTTGATGGACGTAATACTGCCGCAAATCCAACAGCTCAGCCTGAGAGTACAAGACAGTATTCGCGCCCATCTGAAACGTATAGACCATCTAATGATAACTTTGTACCTCAGTTTCCACCTCAAAATAGGGACTATAACCCAAACCTACATCGGCGAAATACCATCACACCCTCTATTCTGACGTTTTCGAATGGTCCGGGATTAAGAGTCGAAAGGTTTGGCATAAATTTTTCTGGTAGACCGAACAGCCTAAGTGTAGAAGATTTCATATATCGCCTGGAATATTTCCAACGTCATTATGATTTAGCATGGGAAGACATTCTAAATGAATTTCACATGCTAGTATCAGGTCCTGCAGTAGAATGGTTTTGGCTACAGCAACGTAATAATTGTATTTCAGATTGGCAATCTTTAAAACATGGTTTAATCGAGAGGTTTAAAACTAGACGCACCTGTTTCGAGGAAATGCGAGATCTACTCGAACGCAAACAAATGCCAGGGGAGTCAATTGATTCTTTTTTCCACGAAATCAATTTGATGAGATCGAAGCTAGAAAGACCTGTTTCAGAATTTGAAATGATTTCCCTAGTCAAGAAGAATTTACGCAAAAATCTATCGAGCATCGTCTATTCTATGAATGTGTCGTCTCTTGAACAGCTGAGGGTAGAGTGTTTAGAGGTAGAGCGAACCTTTTTTCGACGGGAGCAACCCTCCATACAACCCCCCATACAAGCCCCATCAATACCCAAGCCTATGAGAATAAATGCCATTACCGATGAAAACGATACCAACAATTATCAAGCATTCGAAGAACCTGAGCAAGTTGTAGATGTTTCTGCAATTAGCAACTCATTGGTATGTTGGAATTGCCAAAAACCCGGTCATGTTTTTCGTGATTGCACGTCCTCTCAAAGAGGTTTTTTCTGTTTTAAATGTGGAAAGCCAAATACTACAGCCCCAAAATGCGCTAATTGTAGATCGGAAAACTCGAGAAAGAACGTGGTATCAGCGGGGAACCAACGTTCATCCGAACAACCCGCCGGTGTAAACCCTTAAATCAGTCAATTGGGAGCAATGAAGAAGTAGACTATGCTAAACGTCGACATTATTTGCCATTGGAAGTTAGAGAGGAGAATTATAGAGAAATAAAGGCAAGAATTTTCCAAAATAATACCAATGAAAAAAATGAAAATGAAGAAAGAACTAAAAACATAAATTATAAGAGAAATTTTAATAAGCAACAACGAATATTAAAGCTGAGAAACAAGCGAAATCAATACAAAGCTTTTAAAAACTCTGTTTCGGAGGCTATTTGTGGGTATAATAACAAGAAAGATCCTAGACCGTATGCGACTGTGAAAATCGAAGGCAAAGAAATAAGAGGTCTCCTAGATTCTGGTGCTACAGTTAGTTTATTAGGGAAGAATTGTAGAGAACTAATAGAAGAATTAGGGATTGATTTTGAAACGTGTGTGTCAAGCGTGGTTACTGCGTCAGGACAGCATTATCGGATATTGGGTACTATAGAAGTTGAAATGGTATATCAGGGAAAATCAGCTATGATGAAATTAGTTCTGTGTCCCGATCTTGAACAAGATTTATATCTGGGAGCTGATTTCTGGAAAATATTTGAAATCGCTCCAGCAATATTCCCAGTAGATGAGATAGATTTTGATTTGGTTAAAAAATCCATAAGCCAAATATTCCTAACGAGACCAACATGCACAACTTAACAGAGGACCAATTTAATAATTTGGAAGAAGTCAAGAAAATGTTTCTAACTTTTGAAGAACATGGTTTAGGATGCACAAAACTAGAAAAGCATGCCATTAAATTAGTAGAAGGTGCAAACCCGGTAAAGGATAAACATTATCCCCTGTCGCCAGCGGTACAAGAGATCGTGTACAAAGAGATTGATAATATGCTCGCTTTGAAGGTCATAGAGGAGAGTGACTCAGCTTGGAGCAATCGAACAACGGTAGTGCGGAAACCTGGTAAAAACAGATTCTGTTTGGATGCTAGAAAGCTTAATGCCTTAACAGTAAAAGACGCTTATCCGCTGCAGAATATAGATGGTATCCTTAGCCGAATAGATCAGACCCATTACATAAGCAGCGTCGACCTGAAATATGCCTTTTGGCAAATAGAGTTAGAAGAGGAAGCAAAACAATACACTGCCTTCACTGTTCCAGGTCGACCGCTATACCAATTTCGGGTAATGCCGTTTGGCTTATGTAATGCGGCTCAAAGACTTTGCAGACTGATGGATAAAGTGATACCGGGAAGACTGAAATCTAATGTCTTCATATATTTGGACGACCTTCTAGTTATAGCCGATGACTTTGAACATCACATACGCCTATTAAAGGAAGTAGCGGAGTGTTTGAAAAAGGCTAACCTGACGATAGGGCTAAAAAAGTCATTGTTCTGTTTCCGTGAACTCAGATATCTAGGATTTATAATCGGGAATGGATGTCTGAAAACGGACCCGGAGAAGGTTAGTGCCATCCAGCGAATCGCGGTACCAAAGACACCCAGAGAAGTCCGAAGCTTTCTTGGAACAGCTGGATGGTACAGAAGGTTTATTAAAGATTTTGCCTCCATTTCAGCTTCCTTAACGGATACACTGAAAAAAGGCCAACAATTCAAAATTACCCCAGAAGCTATGGAATCGTTCAAGACGCTGAAACAAGCCCTGACGTCAGCACCAGTCCTTCGACATCCAGACTTCCGTCGAGAGTTTTTCATCCAATGCGATGCATCAGAATATGGAGTCGGAGCCGTGTTGTTTCAAAAGAATGACGATGGTGAGGAAAATCCCATCGCATTTTACTCCCAAAAGTTAAATTCGTGTCAAAAGAATTACTCTGTGACCGAAAAGGAGTGCTTGGCAGCTGTATTAGCAGTAAAGCGTTTCCGTCCTTACGTAGAGCTAATGAAATTCACTATTATAACCGACCACGCAAGTCTCAAGTGGCTAATGTCCCTCAAGGATCTCAGCGGCAGACTTGCGCGATGGTCACTTCAGCTGCAAGCGTATGATTTTTCGATTGAACACAAGAAGGGGTCAGAGAACGTGGTAGCGGATACATTATCGAGAATGCCAGTAGAGTCAGATATTATAATAGAAGAGATTAATAATGACGAACTACTAGATTTTGAAACGACCGCATTTGATAACGAGGAATACTCTGAACTTCGAGAAACGATTTTGCACAATAAAGAAAGGCTTCCGGATTTGAAAGTGGAAGGAAACAAAGTCTACAAACGAACTAAGCATATTGACAATGATTTAACCGAATTCGAATGGAAATTGTGGATACCACTTGACATCACCTACGTTCATATAGAAAAGGCACACAACTATAACAATACGGTCCATGAGGGAATAAATAAAACTCTGAGCCGACTTAGGACGTTTTATTACTGGCCTAAGATGGTTTCCCAAGTCAGACAGTATATACAAAACTGTACTATCTGCAAGGAGACAAAGCCGTCAAACCAACGATTGAATCCTACCATTGGAAGTGAAGTTATTACGGAAAGGCCATTTCAAAAGTTATATGTGGACTTTCTCGGAAAATACCCCCGATCAAAAATGGGAAACGCATATATCTTTATTGTGGTGGACCATTTCACAAAATTCACGTTTTTGCATGCTATGAAGGAAGCCACCGCTCAAAATGTCGTGAAGTTTTTAGAGAGCCAAGTATTTCACAATTTCGGCGTGCCTGAGATCATTCATAGCGATAATGGCAAACAATTTGTTTCCAAAGTATTCGAACAGATGGTAAATAATTATAAAATACAGCATTTAACAACAGCGTTTTACTCCCCTCAGTCAAACGCTTCAGAACGAGTTAACCAATCGGTATTGGCTGCTATAAGAACCTATGTTGAGAACGACCATCGAGACTGGGATTTATATTTACCGGAAATTGAGCAAGCCCTTCGAACCTCCGTGCATTCAGCAACCGGCGTTAACCCCTTCTTCGCTCTATTCGGATATAACATGTTCACAAGTGGCACAGATTACAAATTAGCCAAACAACTCAAGACCCTCACTGATACCCAAATACAACAATTGAACAAAAACGATAAACTGGAAATCATGCGAGAGAAAATTAAAAACAATATGCACCAGGCATTTGAAAGCAGTGCAAAAAGATATAATCAAAGAGCGCGGAGAATTAAATTTCTTCCAGGACAAGAGGTGTACAGAAGAAATCACGTATTATCTGACTTCAAGAACAATATTAACGCCAAATTTTGCAAAAAGTTTTTAAAATGTAGGGTCGTTAGGCCGATAGGGAATAATATGTATGAGCTGGAAACAACACAAGGCAAACCATTAGGAAATTTCCATGTCAAGGATATTAAAATATAAAACGTGCAATAATTCTGTGATATAGTTATTTAAGTGCAATATTAGGTTTAAAATGAATGTTTGTGAACGTCCATTTTTGGCCCTATTGCATTTTTTTATTATATTAGAAATTATTGACCGATTTTATTTTTTTTATAGTTTTTGACTAAGAAATATTTTTTTTTTATTGCCCGGCTTTTGAGACTACAGGGCGTGGGAGTTCCCCACGTTGGGAAAAACATATGAGCGAAATAAAATTACTATCTCCAAGAAAATAAAACGACCCTATAAATCTAAAGGAAAGGACTATCCGATGGAAATAAATATAGGCTTAGCTATCACCACAACACGTCCTGATCTACAAAACCTCCATATTTGTACAAAACAGAAACTATCTAGACGAGTTAACTATTCATAAGGCGCTTCAATTAATTAGCTCACGTGCCTATTCATAGTTTTTTTTTCACAACGATTTTTAATAACCCGAATATAGTGTATTTTTTGTGAAAATTGCACTCCAAATGTGAAACAAATTGCTTTAAATTGCCACATACAAACAAATCTTCAATAATTTCTAACACCGTAACCATAAGCCGCTTATAAACTCGTAGACTACAATATTCCTTGCAAGAATAATCCAGTATCACAATGCGCCAACATCTTTAAAGCACAAATATTTTTTTGTAAACCATGCGTTTGTTTATTGAATCGCTTTTCAAAAAAAAAAAAAAATCACCGCAAGCGATCATGTCCAGGCCACCCATTTGTCCGATGCACAAGACACTGACACATTGTCAGGTAAAACGTGCCATAATTTTCATTTTTCTAAGTTAAATTTTTTTTGTAACCCTCTGACGATACCATTTATTGTTAGCTGGGAACAAAATGCCACAATGACAGTATTTCTCTTTTCAAACCCACCTCATGTTATTTTTTATATATATCAAATGTACAGAAAATGAAATAAGCACTCACCTGAAAATCCCTGTTCTGAATCCTATTCGGATAAATGCGCTCCAAAACACCTTTTTCATCACAGGTAGTGATCTCTAAGAGCGTTCCAATACGCAATTAATCTCCTCCCACAAAAATTCACATTACACCAAGGGACCTAAAAGGGTACATTAAAAATAATTAATAAAAAAATAATTATAGGAATAAATCTATGTCTGTGTTTTAAATTTAATCAATAGATTATTCACAAATTAACAGTAACAATATTTAAATGCAAATTGTAATAAATGCATATCCATTCGGGTATATTCACGGCCCACTGAGGATTTTTTTCTAAAACCATTACATATACTGTTTTGATAAACATTGCAAATTGTTTGTTTCAATTTGTTTCAACCCAAGTGGTTTCACGGGCGTTCCTTTAAAGCTCAATATCATATAATGTCAGTTTATTTGTTCTTCAATACATTGCATTTTTATATACTTTTATACGTATTCACATTATACACGTTAAATATTTCCGTGTTTTTTATATTGTAATTCGTACTATCGAAAAACAAACCACCACCCTTGCGTGTATATAACTGGCACTCTTTACTATTTTCAAAATACGTTTTTCTGTTTTGAAATTTAAACCTCAAGTAATTGTTTTGACCACCAATTGTACAACATACCATTTCTTATATTATATGTCGTTAATATTAAACACGGTTTATCCACATCCGAGTTATGTATTCTGAGTGAAGATCATTAAGTGTTAATTATCATTTCACCCTACATGCACATTCCACATCACCACAATAGTTTTCCATTCTATTTTTATGCGCTAATGAGTTAAACAGTCCATTTTTTACATTGTTTTTAAAGGCACAATTATCATTTGTTTTCACTTTTTCTTCATCAGGTAACCATTTTTTTTTATAAGCCTGTAGACCCAATAGCTTACAATTCTTATGTCAGGTATCACTTTTATTCATTTTAACTATGGGTATAACCAAAACACAATCTCTTCTATCGATTGCTACAAACTTATTTTCATGTTTAAAACACACACCAGAGGTCATGAAGAGATGCACCAATCAAATACTCACCTATAAATTATGGGTTGTAATTGTGCTGCGAAAAGATTTACGAATCCTTTTTGTTGCTCAAGTAGCAAAACCACGGATGTGCCCCCAGATTGCGCACAGTGACTTGTCTGGCTCGGTGAAACATTTTTATGACAATTTCCCACATCAACAAAGTTAAAAATTTATTGCCTGTATATGTGGCCAAAGCATTTGTCTCTGCAACGAAAGGTGTTCGGGCTGGCATTTTAACCATGTATGGTGTTACCCATATGTCGTCGCCAGGTGCAGATGAAATCAATAATGGTACAACACTACCTGAAGCGCAAGGGCGTTTTTGTAGGTAAACGGTGTTTTTTTTTTAAAGAATTCCCTAGAAATAAAGGAAATATTGTAGCAGAAATATATGGGCAATAAATAATTTATACCTACTTACTTCCAAGACGCTGTCCATTCTGTGTGAGTTCCGTTAGTTATGGGAAAATGTGCAATACATTGGTGATGCGTGAAGTGCCGCAATGTGTGGTGTGTATTCAATCCATTCAAAGAAATGAGACGACATGAATGCGTTTAGTTACATTGTGTGAATGAATGAGTATTGTAACACACTCTCACACATAGGTGTATTGCTAACACCGCTTGCGGGTACGCACGAACAATAGATGTGTGGAACCCACGCCACTTTTGAAATTACACACACACACATTCAAATGCCATTTCATTTGTAAAATCTTGCTTATGGTTTTTCTGGAACAGAAACGAAAAAATTAATAATGTATTGCAATTAATTGTTGTGCCATGTAAATGCTTACCTGCGTGTTCTGTTCCATGCCTGTTTTAACTTTTTTTTGCTTGTACATTCCTCGTGGTCACCCAGATCTCCAAGACGGCTCGCCCGATAATTTATATTAGCCTCGCAGTCATTGTTAAAAGAAAAAAAACATGCACATCACCATATCCGTCGTTTTCACTGGATATGGTGAAGTTTTGTTGCATGTGGTTTTTTATTTAAAAAAAGAATAAATAATTAACAGCAAGTCCCCGACATGAGATGTTTGCTTGCTGCCGGTCAGGGAAAAATGAACCGGATATGTTAAGCTCGTCGCAGAGGTTGAAGAAATCAGTGTTGCCAACCGGTGGAAAACATATAAGCCAGAGAAATACAACTCTGATGTAGGGCTCAGTAGGCACGACAAAGGTAATGTGATGAATCAGGAAAATTGCGCGAGAATCCCGGAAAATTGTAAATGGCTGCGGCCATATAAAAGGCATAACGGGGGAAAATCGGGGCAGTTTGTTTGGTGTTCAGCAAAGGAGACATTTTTTTTATTTCACCATACCAGAAATTTGAAGAGAATCTCCCAAAAAAAAAAAAAATTTAATTAAATTTTGTTTTTGTGTGTAATTAACACTTGTGTTTTATTGTTGTGTGTGAATGCGGTTGTGCGAACAAGTTAAAGTGAGTATTGTGTTGTATGGTATTACATTAATGGTGTTTAAATGTTTGTGTGTCCTTTTATATATTGTTTAGGCAACGCCAACATTTACACCAACCGTTAAAACCATCTCTGACCCCTCCGATTCTATGAACGGAGGAGGTCAGCCAATTTATGTTGAATTCCCTGGCGGAAATAATTGTGTCCATGACAGGGTTTAAGCCAAGCCAAGTAACCCGGCTAATGGAACGGCAGCAAATTTCGTCCTGTGTGTGTGACATGTCCGTCCAGCGCCAACCAGAAGTATTCCTTCTGCCAAAATCCGTGTTGTCCAAAAACCTGGAGTGATAAAAACTAAATAAGTATACGCTGACCAGGTAACAATATTTAAAAAAAAAAAAAGAGCTACTTACCGGCCTTGAGCAACATTTTGGTTACAATCTTTATGCCAAGAGACCGAGTGTTTACTAATATCTGAAAGGGAGAAATATAAATAAAAGATTAGAAAATCTGGAAATAACACCGAACTCTTAAACAATCTGCAATAATAGTTATACGTTAGTTTAAGTAAATGTTAGTATTTAGTGATTAGTATATAAGATTTTATTTGTGTTTGTAAAAGTTTTTAACGCCAGATGGAATGCGACAAGTGTAGGGTTGCCCCAGAAAAATCCTATTAGAAATTTGTTTATTGTGGGATCAAATGTTAATGTCCCTTTAGAACCACATAAGAGAGCTCTTTTAGGTGAGGAAATAATTTAGAAAAGCGGCCCAAGTTGACCGAAATTCTATAGGATAAGGCGGTAGTCCGAGATATTGACTTATCGATGTGTCAGGTGTTAGAAATTTAGAATTCTGACAAGAAAATAATGAAGGCAATAAATTGTTTTAATGTTTAAGTGTTTAGATTAAAATGAATTGCTAGTGTTTTGTTTTGTTAGGGAGGAAAATAGGATGATGTTGAAGTGAGGTAAGTGTGTGTGAAAAACGGGGCCCTTACAAAATTGAATTCAAATCTTTGAGAAGGATCTAAGGGTCAAGGTTGGGTGGGCGAAGTGTGGGAATTATTAACATCAATTTCCCGTGTTATGGTCGTATGTGTGTTGTCGTTTTATTTTGATTTGTTTCTTGTTATTTCATGTGTTCCTTTTTGATTGTTCGACCCCTGGGGCTGGTGGTGGCAGGGTTGGGAATTCACCCCCTAAAGCGGTGCCCCGACTGAGCTAGTTGGAACCCCACCATAGCGCCGTATCAGGTGGCACGTAACAAATGTTGACATATAACATATATTTTCCTGTTTTTCAATTCGTTTGGAGAGTCACTTGTCAAACAAATTTTGTCGATACAAACATTTTGAAAATAGTTCCTCTTTTGTTTCCATCTCTCTCCAAATATTCCAACTCCTGAACAAAGCGTACCTCGAATGAGGGAGAGAACAAAATTTACTTTCGTTCATAATTTTCAGTTTCTCTGAAAAATTGGAAGAGTTTATACCATCTTTCTACTTTTGAACTTTTAAAAGACATAATTTGTTTTTTTTTTCTATTTTAGTAGATTTTTATAAGCTTTTCTTCTACGACACCAATCGGGGGATGTTATGATATGCATTTTTCAACAATATTTACAAATTCGATCATTGTCCAAGCAGCTGCGCCGATGCATCTACCTGTATTTTTCTACCATGGTACAGACATTCCGTCCGATAATATTAATAGGAAAATCTATTAATCGATAACTATTTTCAAAATAAAGTATCGATACTATCAATTTTGCAGTCGACAATTTGCCACCCCTATCATCACACAACATCGAAAAAAAACACCAAAACACACGTGTTGAGGGAAACGCTTTTAAATTGTTGAAATTCTCAAAAGTTTTTGAGATATTTCGGCAAAATGCGTATCGAAACGTGTTATTTTTGCTCAAGCAAAATCTACCCTGGTCATGGAGTGCAATTCGTAAGGAACGATTGCAAGGTATGTGAACTATAACATGTCGGTTTTGCATGCACTTGTTTAATTGCGTCTTCTATTTCTTATTTTAGATCTTTAAATTCTGCCGTGGAAAATGCCACAAGGCATTCAAACGCAAGAAGAACCCACGCAAAGTGCGCTGGACTAAAGCACATCGCAAGGCGGCGGGCAAGGAGTTGTCCATTGACCCCAGCTTTGAGTTTGAGAAAAGACGCAACGTGCCCATCAAATATAACCGTGAAATGTGGCAAAAGACTTTGGATGCCATTAAGAAAGTTACAGAGATCAAAGAGCGTCGCCAGGGTCAATTTATTATGGACCGTTTGCGCAAGGGCCGTGAAGTCGAAATTCAAATGGATGTCAAGGACGTGCAGCGCAACATTTCTCTCATCCGTTCTCCGGCTGCTGGTTTAAAGGAACGACGTGCCAAGGAGGAAGCCGAAGAGGCCGCTCTCATGGAACAAGATTTGCCCGAGGAGGAGATTACATATGTCGATGCCAGAGAATTGGAAAAGAAATTGGAGGAAGGTGCTATGGATGAGGATCTGGAAATGATGAAAGTATAGATGTAATCTTCTGTATGCGCATACGTAGAGATAAGTAGTCTTTAAGTAGTAGTTTGATTCATGAAAGTCGTATTCTAGAATCAGCAATTATTTTAGAAAATATTGTACCAACAAGGTAATTTTTTTTAAATAAGATTTAAAATGTGATTTAGAAAAAAACAAAATTGTAATGTGTGAATGTATCTCTTCCATATACCACATGTGGTATTGAAGTGTTGGGATTGGCAGATATAGATGTTTCTTTTCGTCGTTTGGTCAGCACATTTATTGTTAATTGGATTAGGCGAAGAGGGAAATGAAAACAAAATAAATTAGTTGATAGAAAAATTCACTTTTGCGTGGAAAGTTGAATTGTCGACTATGGATTACAGCAGTAAGATTACCTCTTATGTGTTCATCCAAATCGTATAAAAACCAATTTTATTTTTCAAGAAATTTTTATTTTACTCGCCCTTCTTGTCGGCCTCATTTCTATGCTATGGTTTGTCATAGCGGCCTTGATGGAGGAACGTGTTCCGACCCTACATCCAGGCGAATATATTTTTGATTATGTGGTAGGTAAGATTAAAGCAAAAAATACACGAAAATCTGGTAGTTATGTTCCGACTTACATGCAGTTGGGGCTGGAACATGTGGATCTGTAGTCGCATCGATATTGGCCAAGCATAGCAATGCGACAATTTTATTGGTAGAAGCTGGCGAGAAATTTGGCATTCTAAGTAAAGTTCCTCTACTGGCCACATTTCAACAAAAGGGTATCAATGATTGGGGATTTCTTTCCACTTCCCAGCTACACTCATCGAAGGGCCTCGAAGATGCGGTAATTGAATCCAGTGAAAATAGTATTCTTAAATGATTGTTGTTCATTGATTTTTAGCGTCAATGTTTACCTCGTGGCAAAGGGCTCGGGGGATCTGCTCAGCTGAATTATATGCTTCACTTCGATGGCTACGAAGGTGATTTTGAAAGGTGGTCTAATGAATTGAATTTAAAGAGTTGGAATTGGTCTTCAGTGAAGCCTTTCTTGAAGGCTGGTACGGCTAGACCATTCGAACGTCTGGACATTAAACCAGATTATTCGCTGTTGGCAAAAGCTTTCAATGATGCCTCTGTGGAATTTATTGACAAGCCATGGCAATTCCGCAAGGCCCAGTATAACATAAAAAATGGCTTAAGATTCAGTGTGTATCAACGTTTTCTACAATCAGCCTACAAGCAAAAGAATCTGAGAGTGATGCTCAATACTTATGCCAAGTCAATTCAATTTGCACTGAATCAAGATACACAGAAAAATGTATACGCCAAATCACTGTGGCTATCAACAAAGGACGACAAATCGGGAAAGGAATATAATTTCGAGATTAGAATTGGGCGTGAAATAATAGTTTGTGCAGGTGCTTACCAAACTCCTCAACTCTTGATGGTATCGGGGCTGGGTAGGCACAGCGAATTAGAAAAGATAATTGGAAATGTGCCATCCTTCTTGTCCGAAGTGCCTTTCGTTGGCCAGCATTTGCACGATCATTTGAATTTGCCATTGTACGTATCAATAGATGTGGTGGGACCAACATTAAATCAGCGGTCATTGCTGAGCCCATTGTCAATACTGAACTATTTGACGACAGGTGGTGGCCATATGGGAAATTTCGGCGTTTTGGGACATATGGAGAATTTCGGGCGCAATCTTAGTGATACCTATGGCCTTACATTCTTTGGAGCCGGTGCTATCGATGAGTCTGTCCTGATGTCTATATCGAATTTCAAAAAATCACATTTCAGAGCACTGTTCCCCCGCTACTATAATACGTCACAGGAAGGCTTCGTTATGATATCGACGTGTTTGCAGCCTGCTTCCAGGGGAAATGTGAAAATACAAAGTGCAAATGTCAAAAAACACCCATTAATTGATCCAAACTATATGGCGGAGAAGGTGGATGTGGAATGCACAATAAAGGCTATTCGAGCGGGCATAGAGGTAAGATTTGTAGTTGAGTTGAATGCTTTTTCCGAAGTTTATTTTTTTGTTTTGAACTTTTAGGTGGTAACGTCAGATGCTTTCTCTTCACTGGACATAAAAATCCATTGGCCACGCATCAAAGAGTGCATCGGATTGTTGGGAAATAATTTAAAACAAAATCAGCCCACAGACGAGTATTTGGAGTGCCTTATTAGACATGTTGGTTTGGGATCTCATCATCCGGGGGGCACCTGTAAAATGGGAACCACTATTGACAATAGTGTTGTGAATGAACAATTCAAGTGAGTTGACTCAATGCGGAGACACAAAATCGGCTTAGAATTCTTATTAAGAATGATATGTTGAACTTATGTGTCTGCTTCCTTTCGTCTATGAATTCTGCCTCTGTTATTATTTCCCCTTTTGCTTACAGAGTTCATGGTTTCGATAAAATTCGTATAATTGATGCCAGTGTGTTGCCAACGCCTGTTTCGGGAAATCCAAATTCCATATTGGTCGGCATGGCTTTGAGAGGAGCGGCAATGGTATTAAAAGACCATTTGAATGATGCTGAAGACAAATAAAATGCATTGCACTAGGCTCCAGGAGATAAATAACATTTTTTGAAATACTGGAAATAGATGATATGGTGTATAATAAAAACTGGTTCCGCCAGCAACATAGTTTGACCTTGAATTATATAAACTGTGGAATCGTGTTTACATTGTTTTAGAGAAAAATGCATTCATTGTAGATACATATTGTTTTACACTTGGGATTATCTTATCCTCACAGATTTCAATACCATGTAACATAAAGGGGCGCATATTTAACTTCATTCAATTTAAGGTAACGTTTGTCCAATTAAGGAGAATTTTGCACCAGACGAACAAATATAGTCTAGAATAGTTCCAAACGTTTCAGATACTACTACAGCACCCGTATACATGTTTAATTCGATTCACATTCAACCCTTGCACCATACATTTGTTGCTGGAAACACTTCAACTAAATGCCAAGAGTGATGTAGGGTATTGAACAGCCGATTTGGTCCTTTCAATTCCTGGTTTTCTATATAAATATACTAAAATCAATAGAATTACTATTTGTATGTCAGTACATGTAACCTATTTAGCATAGCTTCCCATTGGGTATTTGCAGTTGTCGCCTACATTTTCCAATCGAATCGCATAAAGTTTTAATAATCCTTATAAAAATTTATAAGTTTGACTAATACAAAGCCGTTCGGATCGATCAATAAATTTTGTTTGTTGTTTTAACTCATAGATGACTCAAAACGTTTTAGAAAATGTAAAGGGTAAAACTTTGTTTCTCTTTTGCAAAATTTTTCACTAAATATTTTAAAATGGTTTTGTTTGAAAATATTAAATTGAAGTGCTATAAAAGAATGAATCATCCATCCCAAACAAAATACCCTTTATGGTGGGAAATTTCTTCCAACAAATTATTTTAAGAATGAAAATCGCACATTGACTTAAAGAGACACCTTACTCTTGGACGCATGGCTACCACAGTACAAAATAGCTTGGCATTTCTCGCCTCTCTTCGATCGGACGAAAACGACAGTTGTTTACTTTCGATTGAAATGTGCCGCAGTGTGGGAAATTTGAATGAATAATTTTCACATTTTCACTTTTCATTTTGTCCGTTTGAGAAAACCTAATTTATAAAAAGAAAACGCTAAGAGAGTGAAAGAGAATATTCTTGCAGCAAGTTAAGGATGAGAACAAGAAGACGTTTGTTTACATGTTCTAAGGGTCGCCCCCGTCGCTAGTGGATGCCGGCAGCCGAATAATTTTGAACTTGACATCCATCCATGTGACAACGTCAAGATTAAGTAGCTTGGCGAGGGTGAGTGGGTGTGTGTGTGTGTGCGTCCGTGCATGTGTGGCTGTGTGATATATTTATTTTCTTTTAGCTCTCATTCACAACAGATCTATCCCAATTTTACTAGACGAAAGTATCTGTTGGATTTTCCTGGTTCTTCCTCTATAAGAATGAGTGAGGCGGTACATGTACATCTGTATGTGTGTGTGTGTTTTGTAGAATTTGCAATAATTTTACAGCCAAGATTTGTGCTGCTGCCTTTGTCGTGTGGTTGTTGTTGTTGTTGCTGCTGTACATAGCTTTTCATTGTATTCTTTGCCACCGAAACGATGATGACAGAAAAATCCCACAATTGAACTGAATGACCGACCGAGCGAGGGCTGCCATGCAATGCTTTCGGTGACCGACCACCCTCAGTTATCTATGCGATGCTCGTTAAGATCGGTAGTAATGTGTCCCACCACCAGCCGTAGACGTGACTCTATTGGATACGGTGTTAACTTTTCGCAGCGTTTAACAAGTGAACGGATATACGGAAATATCTATAAATATCCAAAATAATTGGAGGATCCGCTCAGAGAAGTGAAGACAAAAAAAAAAAAAAATCAAAGTTCAAAAAAATCGGCTGCCCTTTCGGCTGACAAACTGGAAGTGCATTGCGTAACGCTTTAACCATCTAAAGTTGTTGTAATTTTTCACCAGTCACTGGTTAGTGGTCGTTCCAATTTTGATGTGATGCTCGATTTTACTTCTGTTGTTTTTGCTGCTGCCGCTGATGATGACGATGTTGCCATTGTGATATAATTACTGCGTTCCATTTAATTGTAAATTCACCCATCGTCTGCTACGACTGCTGCTGATGTTGTTGTTGTTGTTGCTGTTCTGGGTACCTTTAGTTATTCCCATCTATCCTCGTCTAAATATGCTGCGAGCACATGCTGCCCATGTAACCATCACTAGGGGGGTGAGAGAAGGTGAGAGGATTGAAGACCTTCAGAATTGATTTATGTTCTGGTATTTAGAATTTGCGTCCAAAGTGTCATGAGAAAATGACACCTAAATGTAATTTCCTGAAAGTGAAATTGTCAGATTTATGACACCCTACACTCTGCGAGACAAGCTTGAAGCCAGATCGCCACATCCATTCCAATGGGTACCATTCAATATAAAAATTCAGATGTAACTTGACGAAAGGTCAAACATCTCGAAAAGTCAGTCCAACCAATCAATAACGTATGTGCGCACTATAATTTTATTCAGTAGAAGTTAGTCAGGAAATTCTGTTTGGAGAATTTGCTTTCTCACACAAAAAAGTTCACAAAAAAATATCAGATGTGTTCGAGAACCTAATAACTTGTACAAATTTCAGGAATATGGAAAACATGGCAAAACTAGTAGATTTTTGCGGTCTCTGGAATAGAGTACTAATTAAAAAATGTTGTTCGATGAACCAAAGGATACAGTAAGTGAGAGCGAGTAAAGAGAGAGAGAGAGAGAGAGAGAGAGAGCAAAATCTATTATCTGCTGCTGGATTTAACTGAATGTTGTTTTGCTCGATTACCAATTGATCCAATTTACAAAAATTTTACAGAACAATTTTTCCTGCAAGAAAAATAGTTGCAAACTGTCAAAATTATTCTCTTGGCTCGCCCTCTTTTTCTGGACTTATCTGAACAATTTTACTATGAAACTACCGGAGATCAACTACTATTTCTCATATCTCGAAAAAGGCTTTTCTCTTTTGTGTAGATCGAAATTATCCCTCACATATTGGCCTCTGTTCTGGTAGTGAGCCAAATATTCGAACTCACCCACCAACGACCCGCTATTGATTTATATTTATTATGGCGGACAGTAATAAATTCTATTTTAAAACGCATCTCTTTTTTGTGGAATGTAAATGACCAAAAAATTAACCAGACCACAACAAATCATAAGTTTTGCAAACCGTTATTGTCCGAGGGTGTCCATAGAATTTCCAAACCCACACACACACGCACACATAGCGAGCGATGTATGCATTGCAGGACGGACAGCCTGATAAACGAATTATTAGATTTGTTGTCACAGTGAAATTCTTCGCAAGTGATTTAGTAATTTAGCTGATTAAGGAGGTCTGACAGTCAGTCACTTGGTCAGCCAGACGGACGGACGGACAGACCGGCAGACGCAACAAGCTGGCATCATTGCCTTAGTTGCTGTCACCGCTGTGATGATCCATCACACCGTTTTGTGCTCCATTAGCAAAGCGGGAATTAGAAACGGATTGCCAGCGACAACTACGCCAAACAGTTGAGAGTTGAGACTCTGGATGTGCGGAAGCTGACTTCCCATGATTGTGGACAAGTGTAGTTCTAGGTCAACATCGAAGAAGAATAACCCCTTCCATGCCACGGTGAAGGGTTCATCATAAACGCCATTAATATTTCGCCGATGTTCATCATTGAAATGTTGTCTGCGTAGAACTAGAACAACAAATACAACAACAACATTGTCATCAGCAGCGATAGCCGTGGCAATAATGCGGGCGGTAAAGTGTTGTCCATGACCAGGGATTTTGTGCAGATTTACAGCCATATTCAGTGGATGGTGTTGTTCTTGTTGTTGTTGCTGTTTTTTCGATGAACTCACAATTGACATAAATTAATAAATCTCTCTTCGTGCTTTCCCTTTTTCCGCGCAGAATTCTTCTGGTGAAGTGACAAAAAAGTATAAAACTGAATTTGTTGCAATCGAACTTAGTTAGTGTGAATGTTTGACAACACCAGCCACAACACGGACTAAAGAGCGCGCGCCACTGCACAGAGTAAAGAGGATAACTCGAGTGCGTGCCTTTGGTGTTTTTCTTTGTTGTTCTTCTAATTTTTCGTGTCGCCTGTCGTCTGTCAGCCTTGTCAGCATTATCGGGATTACCAGGTCTAACCAGCAAAACGGAGTTGAGCCTAGAGACCATCGTAAGCATTGTCCTCGCACGGACAATAACTTCATTCGCAAGGAGTCAACGAACACAAGGACTGGTTGCCAGTTAGTGCAGCACATTCCACGATGTCGGAAGTAGATTCAATTATTTCGCAGCTCCAGCACTTCACATGGCCCGACTATGTGGTGTTCGTGGCCATGTTCATCCTGTGCATCTTCATTGGTATTTACTTTGGATTCATGGAGAAGTCGCTGGGCGAGTCGGATTATCTGATGGGTGGTCGTAATATGCTGTGTCTGCCCATAGCCCTGTCATTGGTGGCCAGTTTTATATCGGGCATAACGCTACTGGGCCTGCCCACGGAAGTCTATTCGTATGGCATACAATATCTGTACGTGTCGCTCGGGGTCATAGCGATGGGCTTCATAATGTCCATCTACTATTTGCCGGTGTTCCATGATCTAAATATCACATCCACCTATGAGGTAAGTCGCAGAGTGTACTTTCGAACTGTGTTCCTTAAATAAATCGATATAGGAGTGGGTTTAAGATTGAGAAAAAAAGATTTGCGAAAACATTTTTTAAGCTTCGTTTGAGACGGTGTTAAGTGTGTTGGTGAAATTAGTCAATCCAAGCAAAAAATATTCCCGAATTTGGAAGGAGGTATTTCAAATCAGTCAAGTAAACACTAGTTTCCGTTGCTATTTACAACTTTGCCCTCGTGGAGAGAGAGAGAGAGAGAGCGAGATAGTTGTTTGAGTTTCTCACCTTTTGATGGAATATTTCCTTCATTTCGTTTTCTGGTAGTGCGTGGAAAAAAACTCTAAACTAGAAATTGTGTAAAAACCAGGCTTTCGTACAGAATATCTAAGGGATGTACATTTTCGCGGTTCATAAATAAATTTTAATCAAGTGGTTTGCTGGGATATGATACATAAGAGTAACAATAGACCATATTTAGACCGAATCAAGTTTTCTTGCTATAATTTGTATCGGTCTCCTTTGAACTTGCCGCTTCCATTTATACAAGGCAATTTTTTCAGCAATTTTCTTTTCCATTATTTTCTTGCCATTTTTTTTTATTTTTGCATAAAAATAAGAACAAAAAAGGAATTGCCAGAAAATTGCTGGAACGAGAATTTTTGTTTAATTTCCATTTCCTTTACCTTGCTCTCCAACAAACAAAAAATTACCGCCAGAAAACTTGCCTAATATAGTTTCGGACATATCCTACTTCAAATAAGTTCCAATAATCCCACAAAAACAAAAAGTCCCCGTTTTAAAAGTTCTTGTCCTAAAACCCAATCACAAGGGATTGGGAAACAAGTGAAAACGGCCACAATGTCAAAATTTAAATAATTTTTGTAAAATCCTGTAAAAATATTGAATTGAAGTTCCCACAATTGGAGCGCTGCTATTGTATGGGGACTATTCCAAAATACATTGAAAATGGGAATTTACCTACCAACAACTCTTAATGTCAAATTTCAACTGGTCTTGTTGAAAAATGGGTTTCAAATCTTGAAAGAACAAAATAATGGGGAGGTTCTGTTAGGGAGTGGGTCCACTACAGCATATTTACAGGTGTTTTGTTCGGAATTTGGGGTAAAAGCTGACAAAATACCGAAAATCAGGAGATACAGTTATGTAGCTATACCCAAACATGGACATACATATACAAATATTTAATATCAAACATCCAATGGCTGTGGAAAATTTCAGAGCCATATCGGACTTAATTGGATCTGCGATAAATATTCCGAGGTGACACAACGGAAATCATAAAATTGGTATAACCACCTCTTTATTGTGGAGGAAGGATATAAAATTACTCTCTTGACTTTAGACTGATACGAAGTGCTTTATACCGCAAATTTGGTTAATAAATATTATTTTATTGTAAAATCTATCCCATAAATGGAGTTGTCCTTTTTCACTTCGCTTTCCTTTCCTTGAGAAAATACTATGCTGCGATTATAGAAATGTAATAAAAAATTTTGCAATCATTTTTTTTGAAAAAAGGTTAATCGAAGAATTAGTTAAATTTTGTCCTTACAAATATCTGTCAGTCTGTTGGCGGAATGTTCCATCCACGGACAGAAAATTTACTTTTTTAAGACTAAGACTTTGTACACGTCCCATTTTTTTTTTGTTTGAAAATCTATGGAAGTTGAAACTCTGTGACTAAAAGGTCTTTTTTTTTGGGAATAGGAAAACAATAAATTTTACCTAATTTTCAAACTTTTGAGAACCCTTCTTTCATTTCTCATCGTTTACACTATCCCAATTACTTTTCAGTTCTATAGTCACTTCTTTATAGATTTTATGATGTTGCTTTCTTTAAAAGCTGATGAAATGTTGTTTTTGTTCCCTCTTGTGTCTTGCATAGCGGACACGTGTACACACATACATAAACAAGTGCATCGATCTGAGCAACTCTCAAATGCAAACAGAGTACGTCTTTTGTGCCATTCTGCTTGCGGTGTCTCTTTATCGTCCCATTCCCATTTATTTGTTTTTTTTTTTGCCTTGCTTTCATTCACCTACATGAATAACATGTAAATATTTACACACACATACACACACGTGAGCGTACGTGTGTGTATTTCTGTTTACATGCAGTCCAACAAATTGATTCAATTAGCAGCTAAAACAGATTTACTTCTAAACCGAATAGTCCAATTCGATGATGAATAGGTTTTGTGAATGAAAAGTCGCCAAACAGCGGAGCGCCTGTGGCGCTTGTCAGCGCTGTCAGTTGGACTGTCCGTACATGCATTCCTACATATGCACATACATATATGCAGATTTGATTCCCGAAGAATTCAACTCGTGTAAGGAAAACTGACAACATTTTTCGTAGCCTTGATGCTCTGACGTTCGGGTGGGTCGGAATAAAAGTTTCGTGTACATGTATCCATTTACACATGTATGCGTGTGTATCTCTTCTATGACATGTTATACTTTTCCAATTTGGCATACCCACCAATAATTGCTCATCTTGGAAACAACAGTTCTCCGCAACAGAGTTCGGAAATTCAATCCATGTAACAGCCAAGAAATTTAAATTTGAACGCCTGTAGGGTAATGAAGAGAATCCTAGTTGCGTATTTGGAATGTTAATAATCATACGCCAGGTGTAGCTATGGTCAAAACCCAGACAACTTTCTGTTCGAGGGGATGGCACTCGTTACGATCGGTTGCTTAAATGGCTAAAGTACTGACAATCGGGATGGTAAATTGTAAAAGTCAGAATAATGTGAATCCTCTTAAGGTATCTGAAATCGATTTGGAGGCTGTACCAAAAAGAGGGGTGATATTTTCCATTCTCAAATTGGATATAAGGTAAAACAAGTAAAAAAAACTTCGAGCCATACGTTTAATATCTCCACAATTCGGAAATTGTAAATTAAAAAATATATAATTAAAGATAAAAAATCCATTGAAAACAAGTAATAAAGCTGTAAGTTCGACCGGATCGAACCTTGAATATACTCCACCATTTGGAACAAATTTGGCAATTTTCAAAAAAAAAAAAAAAAAAAAAAAAAAAAAAAATTAAATAAAATCCATTAAAATTCTGTTGATATTTTAAAAATACAACTTAGTCGTAATATTTGGGTCTATATGAACACGTGGACCTGCATAGGCAACTTTTGTTAAAAGCCATTACAATATTCAAATGCGAAACTTAAAAACAAATCCTGTGAATAATGTAGCTAAAATCACCAAAATCCCGAATAAAGGGATGTACCGTTATATGGGGGCTATTCGAAGCCGTGGACAATTTTCTATCATAGGCTGTAGTACCCATTACGAACTTCCAATACCAAATTTGAAACAATTCTGGTGAATAATATCGCTTAAATCACCAAAATACTGAAAATAGGGAGGTACTATTATATGGGGGCTATACCAAAACGTGGACCTATATGAACCAATAACAAAAGTCCTGCAGACATAATATACATTTGAGTATAATAAAGAATATATGTATATACTTTGTGGGGTCTAAAATGTATATTTCGAGATGTTACAAACGGAATGACAAACTTAATATACCCTCCATACTATGGTAGAAGGACGCTTAAATTATTAAAATACCGAAAATTGTAAGGTCTCTTCCTTATGACTATACACGTCCCCATATCTGTATGGTTTAATGATGTCCATTACGAACTCTAAATAAGAATTTTGAGATAACTCCGTTCAAATATTGGATCTAAAATCATACAAAACCCCAATATCGGTAGGCACCTAATATATGAGGACGATACCAAAAGTTGGACCTATGTGAACAGTTCTTTGCAGGGTCAATTTGAAGCGAATTCGGTTCAAAACTCTGACTAAAACTCTCAAAACACCGTAAGTCTCGCCGTACCATTATATGGGGGCTATATACCAAAACTTTTACGAACCTAAAATACATATGAGTGAAATTTTATCAACCAACTTTATTTCGTTCCGATGCTATGTGGTTTCCACAGATGGATGGACGTGGCAAAATTTACATGGAATTAGAAATTGGGATTTAAAGGAGTTAACTTAACTTAGCATACCATTCATATTATGGTGGAGGGCATTAAAATAAACATCTGTACACAAGATGCATGATTGGGATGATTTGGGCAGATAAATGGAGATAGGGAAGCTAAATTGAATTAGAATTTTATGCTTTTCAAAAATGGAAAACTTTTTGGGCTCAAAAATTTTCATTTCCTGGAGTTACAAACAGAAAGACACCTTCTCCACAATGTGGGGGGTATACGAGACCTGTTTGGGAACCACTGCATATTCAATTCATTTGGCCAATTGTTCTTTTTGCCTCAATTCAATTGTTTTGATTTACAATTTCAAAATCTTTTTAATTTTTTGAATAATTGATTGACTGAGAAAATTGCGTTGCTGGCGCTTGTTGGACAATCGCCATCACTTTCGTACGTATGCAGTGGAGGTATTTCCAGATTACACACACACACACCCGCACAGAGAAGCTAAAGACAAACTACTCTGTATAGACATTTCACCTTGCCAATTGAAAAGCTGATGTAAATGGCACAGGCATCCATCCCATCCACCCATCATCTTTGCGATGACGATGTGGATCTTAATATAGGCACAGTTGCATTTGCGACCTCCAGATAAATAAATAATCAACTCAATTAGCTTTGCAATGACCGTTTGGGCTAAACAAATTGTAAATCAAAAGAATAATTTATTTAAATACGAAATGGCACCGAGATCGGTCCACCAACATGGATCGGCATCGGTGGCTAAGTAATTGTTACAAATCTCCACATTGACATTGTTATGCAAATTTTATTTTTGAATAAAAAGTCCCAGTTTCATGGAAGTGAAACGAGACCATACCGTCTGTATGCGGAACTAATCCCTGAACTAATTGAATTGAATCTAATGTTGTATTTATTGTTTATTTCCTCTTCCCCATCTCTCTTCTCTTTTCAGTACCTGGAAAGTCGTTTCGATCGCAGATTGCGCATGTTCGGCTCTGTCATGTTCACAATAATGAATGTGAGTTATTTCGCCCGTTGCTGTTGTTGTTGATATTTTTGAAATTTACTAACTTAAATCATGTTTCCTTGTCAAAAAAAAAAAAAAAAACATAATTTTCTGCTCTAGATCGGCTACCTTCCCATTGTCATCTATGTCCCAGCCTTGGCCTTTAACCAGGTGACGGGTGTTGCCGTGCACACCATTACGCCCATTGTCTGCATCATTTGCATTTTCTACACAACACTGGTAAGTAAAACTGAGGAGCTATTTCAAAATCATCAAAAGCTTTTAGAGCAGACAGGAGCGGGTTAGACCACATTGATTGATTCCGACTAAACCGAAAGGAGGAGGAGGAACAAGTTCTTTAATTTTTTTTAAGCTCATAAATATAGCTGTGTTCCAGGGAAAAAGGTCTCTGGGAAATAAATTGTTAGCATCTCAACAAGAAAAAAAATGCGTGCAGTTCGGTCACACCTATCTTTGATACACTACCCCATTCGGGAATGGAAATATTTCCGAGAAATTTTGTAATGTTTTTAAAACATTAATCCTATTTTAGGTGGTACCGTAATCTCAGAACTCTTTTTCCCATGGACCCATGTCGAACATTTTGTGTTAGCGATATCAATTGAAAAGTCGGAATTGTAAATTTAAATGAAACTGGTTCAAATTGAAACGATATCCTTAAAGACAACTGAAATCGGTTGGTAACCGGAATGACCGGTTTTTATAAACTATAGCCTGCCCGTTCATTTCAGAGCATTGTTCCAAGTCAGACCTTTTAATTTTTGTTCCGAAAGGAACTGTAAGTCAATAAAAATGAGCATAACCTAAAACAGTACAGTTACGAACTCCAGGTTCAGTCGGAAAAGTGGATCAAATATCTAAAATACGCTTTCACAATATATTCGAATCTGGGATTATTTATTTTCGTATATTCCCTACACACAGGGCGGTCTCAAAGCTGTCGTCTGGACCGATGTCGTACAAATCATTTCCATGATTGGCGCTCTAATACTGGTGGCCATTAAGGGTAGCATTGACATTGGCGGTGCCTCAAAGGTCTTCGAAAGTGCATGGGAATCGGGCAGAATTGAGGGTCCAGAGTAAGTCCAATGGAATTTCATTTCACCAAAACCAAAATTAATTGCAATCCCCTGTTCTTCAACTACAGCATGGATTTGAATCCGACAGTGCGACACACTCTGTGGTCCCAGCTGGTGGGCGGTGTTTTCTATTGGACCCAAACGAATGCCGTATCCCAGAACATGATTCAGCGTTATTTGGCTCTGCCAACTCTGTCGTCGGCCCGCAAAGCCTTGGCCTTGTTCTGTTTGGGTGTCTTGGTGCTGATGGGTCTCTGCAGTTACAACGGTCTTCTCATGTATGCCACCTACAAGCAGTGCGATCCCCTGACAACAAAGGTAGGTGTATCCGATTTCGGCAAATTGTCAAGTAGACAAATTCTACAGTGTTTTGGTTTCCCTGCAGTTGGCCAAGGCCAGAGATCAACTGTTGCCGCTGTTCGTTATGGAAACTTTGGGCGAATATCCCGGTTTGACGGGCCTCTTCATCGCCGGTGTGTTCAGTGCAGCCTTGAGTTCTTTGTCCACCTGTCTGAACTCCATGTCCGCCGTGGTGTTGGAGGATTTCATTAAGCCCTTCGTCAAGAGGCCATTGTCGGAGACTGCCATTAACTGGATTATGCGTTCGGTGGTTGTATCGGTGGGTGTATTGTGTGTGTTCCTGGTGTACATTGTCGAGCACATGGGTACCGTCCTGCAATTGACCATGAGTCTGGAAGCCATTACAAATGGACCCTTGTTGGGTATTTTCACCATCGGTGTATTCATGCCTTGGATAAATGGAAATGTGAGTTTGAAAAGCAGCTGTTTTTTTTGCAGAGATTCAATATTTCCCTTTTTTGCCTTTCCCCGTTTAGAGTGCCCTCCTTGGTGGTATTGTGGGCGTCGTGGGCATGTCTTGGATTAGTTTAAAGGCCCAATGGGCAGTGGCCTCCGGTGCCATGGTCTATGAAACGAAACCCCTGACAGTGGAACACTGCACCTATCAGTTCGATACCTCTGTGTTGGTGTCAGCGGCCAATACCACCCTGTCGGAGGCAGCCAAAGAGTAAGTCTTACCCCATGAACATTTAATTTCGATTTTTCATAATTTTTCCTCTTCACCCATTTTCCAATAGGGAAATTTTACCGCTCTACCGCATATCGTACATGTGGTACACATGCTTGGGCGCCTTGTTGACCATGGGCATTGCCGTTCTGTGGCATTTCATCTTCGGCGGTAACGATCCCAAGACAATTGACCATTCCCTGTTGTCACCCTGCATACGTAAATATTTCCAAAGCGAAGACAACCACTTGCAGACCAAGGTGAGTTCCCTCAATGTGTCCAAATCAATCAATGCTAACCTACCACCATCTCCCCGGCAGAACCTCCAAATAGACATTCCATTGAAAAACAAATCGGTCGACGAAGAAGTTGCCTTGTAGATCTGCCAGCTGTGTTCCGAGGCGGCCGGTGTACCTGTATGTGTGCGTTACCTTAGACTAGTTGCCTATTTAATTAACCAAATGACCAACCAATTCGGGGACGATTATTGTAAATACCAAATTACAATAACAAATTAGAACAATTGCCTGTGTGCGCGTGTGAACCTAAAAAAGAGTATTCCTGGGGTGTTATTTTAAACTAATCTACGGAGATCCTAAGCTATCTATAATTAATACATAACAATACGGCTACTTTTAAAGACTATCATAGGGGCGGGAGTAATTTGTAATACATGCATACATGTAAACATAGACATGTGTTGGTGCCACATCCACATCCATACACAAACATCCCTACATACATGCATACATAAATGAATAGCAGCTAATATTTAGTTACATAAATCAACTTTATATTGAGAAAAAAAGAAGAAGAAAAAACAAAAAACACAGAAGATAAACCAAAAACAAAGCAAAGCAAATCCAAAGATTATTATTAAATTACAATTGTTGCTAAATTAAATATGCTTAAGAAAGAAGTGTTGTTTATTTTTTGTCTGTTAACAGCTTCCAATCAACAGAACACCACAGAGCATGAATGCATAAGTAATAACAATAATAACAATAAGAATAATAAAAAATAAAACATTAATTTAGCCATAAAAGAAAAACTAAAAAAGGAAAAATTGTCATGTCTTTCAATAGCTGCCGTCACTCGGCAAAATTGGGTTAGGGAGGAGTGGCGGTTTTGGAATTTTGTGAAATGAACTTGGTCGAATGGGAATTATTTTGAGGGAAAACAAAGTTGGCAAATTGTGGTTTAAAAATACTTAATTTTAAAATACCTAAATTTATAAAGGTTTTGGAATTTTTGTGGCAAAGTTCAAATCGAATATATGTTAGAAAATAACAGCTGATTCATTCGTACGTACTACAAAGAGAGTTTTAATACCGTATTTTTCTACTACCTCAAGATAACAATGTCTACAATTTTCCACAAAAAAGGTGGAAAAGTAGCAAGCAAAGTCGCTATACGAAGAATTCAGAATTCTTAATTCAGATTAAGATTCATCGGAATCTGTGCATTTGAGGTATATAGTGTCTTCGGCAATATTCCAAAAAACAATACGAGTAATATTTGTGATCGAAAATGTAAGGCCGCAAATGAGCCAAGCAAAGGAGTCTTTTTGTTCCTTTTTTTAAAAAGAAACTTCAAAAACTCCCTTTAAACGACATCGTAGCAGGTCGAAATATTCCACAAAATTGGTTGTCATAAAATTCTACCATAGGTCCTAGAAGACGTCAGAAGACGCCGGAAATGTATATAAATTAAAGGAGACATTTTTATTAAAAGGAGACATTTTGGGGTTAAAGCTGTACTTTATGTGAGTTTGTGCAAAAATCTCCTACTAAGCATTATTTTAGAATGACGATATCAAAAACAAAAATATGGCACATCCGAACGAATTCTACCTAGGAGCAAGTACATCAAATTTCCAGAAAATCGGTTCGAATAAAGCTATAGCTCCCATATACAGAGTGAGATGAAAAAACAGCAACCAACTTTAGACTGCTATCATTTCTAAGCCATTCGTCCGATAGCAGATATAATTATTCCAGTGACAGCTCATTATATTGTTTACAAGTGTACAAAAGCATTTTGGTGAGAATTTTCCAGAAAAAAAGTTATTCGTGATGGAATTCCAGCGTGATAGTGTGATTTCTTTATATTTGGCTAGAAAACCAGAAGTGGCTATCGTTAGACACTCCAGCATTAAAATGTGAATAAACCTTTTGTGTCTCGTAACGAGCATGACCGAACGACCGTGATACTGGTAGCGTAGCCCGACGTCAAGGAAGTGAACGAAAGAAACCAGCAACACCAGCAGAAATGGTTCGAGAAGTAAAGAAGCGACTTGATCGAAACCAGCGTCTCATTGGCCAAAAATGGCTCGTATGCTGAACATATCGCCATATTTCATTCGGCAAATATTGAAAAATGAGCTCGGGCTAAAGCCATTGAAATTCCAAAAAGTGCAAGAACTTACACCGCAACGGAAAGAAAATGGACTCGAAAGAGCTAAAGAGTTGTTTCGCTTGGCCGAAAGTAATGAACTGAACTCCGATGAGAAAACATTCGTTGTTCAGCTGTTTGTAAACAAACAAAATGATCGTGTTTACTTGCCAAAGAGGTTTGCTGAAAATGTGGGGATGGTGTGGGCCGGGCCGCCATAACAGCCGATGGTCACTCTCCGCTCGTATTAATTGACCGTGGCATCAGAATAAATGCCGAATATTATCGCGAAAGTATCCGGGAGGGTGTATTAAACCCTTGGGTACGCAAACATTTTGGCCGCAGACCTTGTACATTCCAAGAGGAATCAACACCATCGCACTCAGCACGTACCATCCAAGAATGGTTACAAAATGAGGTTGCTCGCTTCATTTTCAGGGAACAATGGCCACAAAAATCTCCGGATACCAATCCGTTGGACTATTGTGTCGAGTATTTTAGAAAGGAAGTTTGGCACTAACAAATACCAAAGTGTCGATCACCTCAAGCAAGCGCTTCCCCGAGAATGGCCAAAATACCACAGGGTAACATTCGGGCAGCGTGTGATGGTCTCATTGGCCGTTTGAAGGCCATAATTCGTGCCAAAGATGACCAATTCGAAGAAATCTAAACTTATTCTAAAATTTGATGCTATTTCCGACATTTTTTGCTTTCATTCAATAAAATTTAAAAATTTAAAATTATGGCGTTTGACTTTGCTGCAGTTTTATTTATCTCACCCTATATTCTATAAACCAATACTTGTACCAAATTTCGAACTTCTAGGGTCAGCTATATACAATTTTTGAACTGCCCTCATATTGTGCTATGGTTGTCACTATTCGAAGCCATCACCGTCAATATTTGTTGAGTCCAAATTATTTTGTTGTAGTACGGCAAATCAATTTGAGATGCTGTACTGTGCCTCAAACCTACTTACTCTTCCCTGCCGCAACCATAATCTAATGGAAACTAATTCTTTTGAGCATTCCTTCTAATCATTCAATTCCAATCATCCGGTGACCCACCCTCGTCGCAGTACCATCATAATTATTTAACATTGAATTTTAGAATTATTATCTCGGCGAATAGAATTTCCTCTTGGCATGTTCACAAGCAATTTGATGCAGAATCTGTTTGAGGAGATTATCAAGATGTTGGTAATGTATCTATTAGAGAATCATTGCCATCATCATCGCCGTCATTGATGCTCGCCAAGAATCTCAAATCTCATATCAAATTTCACTCCCACACAAGCCGGCGAATTGAATTGATTTTTGCTGATTAATCATCATTTGGACAGGCAATGGGCTAGTCTGTTCATACCTGACTTGTTCATGGTCTGTTTAGTTGGGAGCTATGGCATTACATGTCGGTTCCTTAACATTGACCAAAAAGATGACGGAGATGTGTTTTAGCTGGTGTTCAATTACAGCTTGTAATGCTGTTTATTCGCCATTTAATGAGTGCTAAGGTGTTGAAAATTGACTGTATAATCGATATTGAAGGTCTCTTGTTTCGGAGCCCGAGTGGTGGTGTCATGTTCATAATGTAAAATTGATGACATTCTTCCAACGCTCCCAATGTGTGTGGCAATAGAAAATAGCAATTAATTCGTTCGTTGTTTGGTAGTTTTCTCACATTTTTTGGGGGGGGGTTATTAGTAGCGGGTCGATGTTGTTCTTGTGGCTGATGTTAAGCTTTAATTAAAACCCCATCACTGGGCGATGGCTGCGACGACGCATCAGCCAACCAATTTCTCAAGTAATTAATATCAAGTTTGTTGTTCGAGTCTTTTGTTCTGAACTCCAGCAAAAGAAATGATGTGACTGGCCAGGCCTGCCTGTCTGCTTTTAATTTGTCGGAGTTTCCTTGTCAAACATGGCATTTATTTCAATCACAACACCGAGGCAGACAGACATACCCAAGTCAGAATGTTGTCGTCATAGTTTGAATTAGACAGAGCGACTGTCGAAGTAGAAGCGGTGGTGGTTGCGTCGTTTTCGTTGACTGTTTATCTGTTTGTCAGTGTTTTGCGTACCAGCCGAATGACAAGTGCGATTTATGTCTTTGACCTTTAGAACATGGAAAATCGCATGTCACAGCCATTGTTGTTGTTTGTTGTTGTCCAAAAACACAAAAAAACAGCACCATTGTGTTGGGTGTATATGTGTGTGTGTGTTTTCTTCATTCAGCTCATTATCCAGTTCGATGTGATGTCCGCTGCGGCCAATTAGTTGGGTCCACCGCTGTGTGTGGCATTTGCTGAGTTGCCGGACATTGTCTGGTGGTGTCATGTCCTAATTTACAAATGAGTTCCATGTTTGAAAAGAATAATTTCCTTAGAGAGAAAAAAATAAGAAAAACAGACAAAGGCTTAATTGAATTTTAATGACTTCTGATGAGTAGATGTTCACTTTGATTCGCGAACAACGCAGTGCCAATGGGCGGTGAAATTAAATAATAACCTACTTTTTATGTGTATTAAAAAAATTAATTTTAATAGATTAAATATCTTTGGAAAAATTTACATTTAGTCGATTTAATTTGTCCACAAATTTCCCTCCTGGATTCGATACGTTTTACAAAAGCCCATCAGCACATACAGGATGAAATACAGAAAACTGCAATAAAGTCAAACGCAATAATTTTTACTTTTTTTTAAATTTTATTGAATGAAAGCAAAAAATGTCGGAAATAGAATCAAATTTTAGAATAAGTTTAGATTTGTTCGAATTGGTCACCTTTGGCACGAATTATGGCCTTCAAACGGCCAATGAAACCGTCACATGCTGCCTGAATGTTGCTCTGCGGTATTTTGGCCCATTCCCGGCGAAGCCCAATAGGGCCAACCTTGCTTTCCAAAATACTCCAGACACAGTAGTCCAGTCCGGAGATTTTGTAACCATTCTTGGGTTGGGTTTGTGCTGAGTCCTGATAGAATGTCCAAGGTCTGCGCCCAAAATGTTTTGCGTGCCCAAGGCCTTAATACAACATCCAGAATATTTTTGCGATAATATTCGGCATTTATTCTGATGCCACGGTCCATTAATACCGGCTGTTATGGCGGCCCACACCATCACCATGACTAGCGCTTGAGTTCTGGTGGCCAACCGAAGGTGTATATATTCAGCTGACCTCTTTGGCAAGTTAGCACGATCATTTTGTTTGTTTACAAACAGCTGGACAACAAATGTTTTCTCATCAGAGAAAACCAAATTCGGAGTTCCCCACTTTCGGCCAAGCAAAGCATCTCTTTAAATGTTTTGAGTCTATTTTCTTTCAGTTGCGGTGTAAGTTCTTGCACTTTTTTCAATATTTGCCGAATGGAATATTGCGATATGTTCAGCTCACGAGCCATTTTTCGGCCACTGCGACGCGGGTTTCGATCAAGTCTTTTCCTTACTTTTCGAACCATTTCTGCTGATGTTGCTGTTTTCTTCCGTCCACTTCCTTGACGTCGGGCTACGCTACCAGTTTCACGGTAACGAGCAATGGTACGCGACACAAAAGATTTATTCGCATTTGAATGCTGGAGTGCTCTAACGATAGCCACTTGTGGTTTTCCAGCCAAATATAAGGAAATCACGCTTGAATTTCATCACGAATAACTTCTTTTCTGGA